TTTTTTACAGCTTCATCCACACTATAATATACTCCAACTGAATATTTAACAGATAATTAAGAAAACAAAATATAATCTCTGTTCTTGGATTCAATCGGATAAAACAGGGGCCCATCAAAAATTTATAGGTTCCGCTGGTTTGTTTATATCAATCTATCATCTGGTTTGTTTATATCATCTGGTTTGTTTATATCATTGTCTGCAAAGGATGTTGAAAGTTGGAAAATTTTTCATTCATCATAATTATCTTTGTGAATACTAAAAGGAATGAAACTGTTTTGAAACTGATATTAATTTTAGAGTTTCCACTTTCACAATATTGTCGTTTGCAAAGGATCCGAAATTTCTGAAATAACAATCAGCGACTTTTGAGTTGTAATACCAAAGATTCCCATAAGATGTACTGTAAACACCCACGTACAACATACAATTTTTCCCCTTGGGGAGTCTCCCTCAACTGGGGAGTGTATATTATTTATGTAAATTTTGTAACTCTTTCCATCACTTTCAATGCACAAACTATTGATGTCCTTTTTGAAACACAGCCTATATGACTGAATTTGGATCTCAATCAAAAGTTTCACACAAGATATTTATATTTAAACATCAGCTACAGGTTTCACTTTCTTTACTTTCACTCGTCCACGTTGCTTTCGAGGTTTTCTTTTGTTGTTGTTTTTCATTGTGAAGTTGATGCACTGTAAAAGAAAAACTAACCAAGTTGACTTACTGATAAACATCCTGTGCCTTAAACCAAATGAAAAGGGTTCACTGTCTTACTCTTCCGCACCAGCTGAGCTAGTGAAGATGCAGTTTGATACAAGAGAAATGTTGCAGGGACACAGCAGCATTAGAGCCTACTCCAACCATCAGGGGATCTTTAACGTGTTGCCTATGGCAGATTTAGCTCTTGCATAATATATGTTTAATATAATTTAATATGCTTTTAGAAACCTCGGTAAACCTTATTTTATGTTCTTTGATGTTTATTATTGTATTGTAATTTGTATTGTATGCTTTACCATACTCGTGTATATACCATGCCGTTGTGTAATAAAGCATTATTATTATCAGTATTAAAACAATAGCTATGGAAGACCATTAGGGTCAGTCAGATGATAATTTTAAGGTCGCCATGCTCCATATAAAATTGCATCGAAAGATTTTTACAGAAACGAAAATCTACCTGGTAATACTTGTCACGGGTCACATGTATGTATAAAACTGTTCCGCACTGATACGAATGACTTTTTTGTTATGGATCAGGTAGCACTATATATCTATTCACGTAACAATATGGTCCCTTACATTTATATACAACGATATCATACTAGGTGGAAACACACGTAAACCCCAAATGTTGTAGTAGGAATAGTAATCCCGTATATTCTTTGAAACAAATGTCCACGGAATAAATAGTGATTTACTCGAAAGATCAGCGACAACGAAACAGCTTTGAACAATTAAAAGCGTAACTTTTCTCAGAAAATACGAAATTAATGAATGCCGCCAGTCACCTGAATAACAAAAACGACTTGAGTCACTGCTCCTAATCAACCGTCCAATCACGATTTGGGGCAATCTGACCCACTCCTCTTGCAGTGCCACGGCCAATTCTTACAGTGTTGTCGGTTGACGTTGCCGTCGACGAACACGTCTCCCGATCAAATTAAACGTAACACAATAAAGCAAAGATACGCTAAACAGTAAATCTTATGCAAGAACCGATAGGAAAGCAAATGTGGATAGATAAACCAGCACGCGGCAGTTTTCATCAACCCTTCCTTGAAGTGTCAATTTTGACAATGAACCCCTCCCACGTGTATGGCGCTATTGCGTGTCGCATGTGCAGCTCAGTAGTTCTGTTGGGGCGACAAGTTCTTCATCTGTGAACATACTCTCAAAGCATGTCAAGTGTCCATGACTATTTATCATGTCACAACCTGCATATCCCCTACTTTTTTGACGAGTATATTTCCATGACTTTCCATTGATCTCATCATATAAGTAATATAACATCATTTTTTCTGTTGTAAGTGCAAATGGATCGCACTACACACAAACACAAACCACTAGGCAAACCTGCGAATAATGGGACATACAAACTAGCCTACACCGACATAGCAAGCAATAAACAACAAAGTGACTGTATATGTAACCTGTATTATCTGTAATATAAATGGGGTTTAACACTCAAATTGTATATTTAAATAAACTAAAATTAATGACATTCGTATTTATTTTAATAAATACGAATGTCAATAATTTTAGTTTATTTAAATGTCTAATTGTCAAAAAAAATTAAATCTTTGGCAATATGGGAGTATGAGAGTCCGCTCATGTTCAGCATAATATTACACAATGCCATGGTTATGAATTCGTGTATACCCAATTTGGTTTCAAATTGTTGAACCACATTTTTTGAGGCGAAAAATAATTCATCCAGGAGCTTAAAGATGGGTTCCCAGAAAAGTATTTATCGGGTGGTTATTTCCAATAAAAGTATGGTAATTTTGGTATATATGGAAAGTAGAGATATCCAATCTTACTAGAAAAATACTGGATTCCCCGAAAAACACTCACAGAGCGTATACAGGACAAAAATGTTAGGGTTCCCCTAATCAACAGCCCGACGATTAGGAATTTCTGCACGCGTGATGTCAAAGGTCACAGGCGAACATTGAGCGCTTGATGTACAAGTTGATAAACTTTATGAAGAGTTAGACGTACAACACTTTCTGAGATAAAAATGACGGAAAAAGACACGGGTAGTGGATAATCCGAGAATTTAATTTGGATTCGACTAAACAACGTATTCTAAATCCATGAAATAAATCTCTCCTACATTTTAAAGAAGGGTTCATAGGTCAATTGAAATGAATTATATGTCTTTAAACACCTTACGTGTCGATTCGAGGGCCCTTTCTAATTGAGTGATAGTGTTGAAACTTCAATACCTTAATACAGTTCGATGTTGAGCATTTTCTGCTTGGGTAAAGTAGAGACTTCAATCTAACTGGTCGAGACTTTTGAACGCAATAACTCTCCTTCTGATTGGGGTGGGATGTTTAAAATTGGTGTAGGTGTCTATTTGGTCAATGCCTTGACAGAGTTGGATCATTTGCATTTTCCACGAAGGCTAAGCAGAGATAAGCAATTTGATTGGTTGAGACTTTGGAACACGATAACTTTGGTTCTAATTTGGCGAGATCACGAAACTCCGAGTATAGATTCATTACATCAATAGCTTGACAAAGTTCGATGATGAGAATTTTCTGCTTAGACTAAGTAAGTAACGATAACCAATTTGATTGGCCAAGACTTTGTTTATTAGGTGAATGTCTTGACTGAGTTCAATGATTAATATTTCCCGTTAAAGCTAAGCAGAGCTAAGCAATTGGTCGATGCTTTGGGACAAGATAACAAATAAACATTGATTTTAACTATTGGAGAGTGGTGGAACTTAGTGCACAGTTTCACTACCAAATCAGGTACTTCAAACCCTGACTAAGTTTGATCGTGAACAATTTATGCTTAGATTAAGCACAGATAATCAGTTTGATTGCTTGATACTTTTGAAAAAGATAATTGTGCAATTAATTAATGTGTCATCTATTTATTATGGGATTTTGGCTGGGGACATCAGCCTCACTGTTGGCTTGTTAACATTCCGATCATGTTTTTTCTAGCCTGGATCATAATGGAGGTGACTCCATAATTCGTGCCTCAAAATCATGAATATTCATTAAAACTTAACAGGAAATGTAAATTTAAACACTCTTCTTTGATATCAGATCAAAACTTCAACAACAACATATTCCTGAAGCAATGGCCTGTGAAATCCCTCTCTGGCCATTGCTGGATAGACTTCTGCTGATACTTGAGCTTTTGAGGGAGTGTGTCTTTTCTTTCCGTTCAATCAAATCTATCCCAAGTACAGCAACATAACAGTCCTTCGTTTAATCTGGGGCCTTCCCTAAAACTTGGACAGTGATTTAAGGTATAAAAACGGTGAAAGCATTGTTCGTCTCCAAACAGTATTGTTTACATTGTAGCCGTGTTGATAGCCTCGTTGATAGCAATTAACTTTTATGCAATATTTTACTATGCACTGGTTAATTCTATCTGATCGACAGATCCACCATAGCTGCTAGCAACCATTTAATTTTTGTACGTTAGTTACGTATGTGATTAATTGGGCGTAATACAATTCGTGAGTCAGACAGACCGAGAGAAATGTGGTTAAGTCCATAAATTAGGTCATTCCGGGACTAATGTATGTTAAGATTGTGACAACTGACAACCTGACCAGCTGTATAATTTGCCACAGACAAATTCATCTACAATGGACAATCTCATAACTGCAGTGGGTCCCCCATTTTTTTTCATAGCTCCGCTTGGTTTTAGGTAAATTACCCCTATCTGAACTGACCCATCCACTTACAAAAACCACATGGATCTGTACTTGACATAGATAAGATTATGTTTACTCACACTGCTTACATATTGGTTATTATCTGTGGACAAGGAACAGTTCCCAAGTCGCTACTCATTGTCTTCTTGTTCTTGGGGACCACCTATTTGAAAAAACACTATGGCTCCACCAATTCCTGTAAGATTAACGTGAAACTTAGCATGCTTGTTTCTTGGACAATTGGGCAGTTTTTGATATGTCACAATTCCAAGACGGTCTATAGTCTTGACCACAAGACATTTACTTGTCCAAATTGACCACAAGATAGTCATTTGTCCAACTTGACCACAAGATAGTCATTTGTCCAACTTGACCACAAGATAGTCATTTGTCCAACTTGACCACAAGATAGTCACTTGTCTACATGACATTTATTTGTCCAACTTGACCACAAGATAGTATTTAAAATAGTAATACTTTTCTAACTAATTTAAAACTAGATGATGTAATAAACTACAAAAACTGCCATTTTGTCTTTAATGTGGTTGTATATTTTACAATTAATTATGGTTAATATTATATAAGATACTAAGGAAAAAGATTTTAATACAATAACAGTGCTTCTATATATACAATCAAATACTGGCAACAAATTCATGCTTTGTCTGGCACAATCCCTCTGGTGCCAATCTTTTTGTCTAGCACTTATTTGTCATTTGGGGGGGGGGGGGTTGATATTATTAATACTCCATCAAAATGTCTGATAATGTATTTCAGTAGGGTCTGACATTTGTAAATCACAAATAATATCACTACCATTCTTAAACAGAAATAACTATCAATTCTCTCACTTCTTTAACATCTTCTAATTTCACAAAAATGGTTTCTCAAATCAGGGGATGTTTTCATTCAAATCACAGATCCCTGATCGTGTATTATTTTCGGGAAATATTTCATTTTTTACAGCTTCATCCACACTATAATATACTCCAACTGAATATTTAACAGATAATTAAGAAAACAAAATATAATCTCTGTTCTTGGATTCAATCGGATAAAACAGGGGCCCATCAAAAATTTATAGGTTCCGCTGGTTTGTTTATATCAATCTATCATCTGGTTTGTTTATATCATCTGGTTTGTTTATATCATTGTCTGCAAAGGATGTTGAAAGTTGGAAAATTTTTCATTCATCATAATTATCTTTGTGAATACTAAAAGGAATGAAACTGTTTTGAAACTGATATTAATTTTAGAGTTTCCACTTTCACAATATTGTCGTTTGCAAAGGATCCGAAATTTCTGAAATAACAATCAGCGACTTTTGAGTTGTAATACCAAAGATTCCCATAAGATGTACTGTAAACACCCACGTACAACATACAATTTTTCCCCTTGGGGAGTCTCCCTCAACTGGGGAGTGTATATTATTTATGTAAATTTTGTAACTCTTTCCATCACTTTCAATGCACAAACTATTGATGTCCTTTTTGAAACACAGCCTATATGACTGAATTTGGATCTCAATCAAAAGTTTCACACAAGATATTTATATTTAAACATCAGCTACAGGTTTCACTTTCTTTACTTTCACTCGTCCACGTTGCTTTCGAGGTTTTCTTTTGTTGTTGTTTTTCATTGTGAAGTTGATGCACTGTAAAAGAAAAACTAACCAAGTTGACTTACTGATAAACATCCTGTGCCTTAAACCAAATGAAAAGGGTTCACTGTCTTACTCTTCCGCACCAGCTGAGCTAGTGAAGATGCAGTTTGATACAAGAGAAATGTTGCAGGGACACAGCAGCATTAGAGCCTACTCCAACCATCAGGGGATCTTTAACGTGTTGCCTATGGTACACACAAGACCTCAGATTTCCAGACCATCCGAAGGGTTAGACGATTTTCCTAGCTAAGCCCCACGCATTTGATTTCTATACTTGAACAAACTTTATTTTATTCAGAGACCTAGGGATTCTACTAAACATTTACCTTTTCATCCAGGAATTCTAATAATTTATCCATGGAACATTTCAGTCCTACATCAGTTAAATCCTTCTTTAAGACATCTATCTCAACCGGCTAAAAAATACAAAAAAATACCCAAAAATATTGATGCTAGGCCATTAGATATGTTATAAACAGGCTCAAAATTGAAATAAATAAAAAAAAAAAAATAGGCCGTTTAGTTATCAATAACAGTAATTATTACTAACATGTAGATATCAATTACAGTAATTATTAACATGTAGATATCAATATAACTAGTAACATGTAGATATCAATTACCATAATTACAAACATGTAGATATCAATTACAGTAATTACTAACTTGTAGATCAATAACAGTAATAATATGACTTACATGTAGATATCAATTACAGTAATTACTAACATGTAGATAGATATCAATTACAGTAATTACTATCATGTAGATATCAATTACCATAATTACTAACATGTAGATAGATATCAATTACAGTAATAATATGACTCACATGTAGATATCAATAACAGTAATTACTAACATGTAGATATCAATAACAGTAATAATAATACTTACATGATATCAATAACAGTAATAATATGACGTATATGTAGATATCAATTACAGTAATTACTAACATGTAGATAGATATCAATTACAGTAATAATATGACTTACATGTAGGTATCAATAACAGTAATATTATTACTTACATGTACATATCAATTACAGTAATAATATTACTAACCTGTAGATAACAATTACAGTGACAGTATTACTTACATATAGTAACAAAACTACAAATATAAAGTTACATTTTGTAGTCGTTCATAGAAGTTGAAAATCAATTTGTCAGAATTGATAGCTTGCAGGTATTTAGTGCAGGGGCCCTTGAAAATGTGATATATACAATGGTTTTTACCTGATATGTGAGGACTTGTGTATATAGTTTAGAACTATCCTGGATAAAGTTGGATAATCTCTTAAATAATTCTTCTTTATTGCACTAAAAGACAACAACAAAATGGAGTTATGGCAACATTTTACATATTTGAATAGGTACCATTTTATGTAAGCAATAAGTTTATTTCAAATGTCCCAACATCATTAAATGTAAACAAATGCTATTTTGGTTGACAATTAACTAATTAAAGAAGAAGGGTTTTCAAATGGGCCCCCGAATCCATTCACTGGATCTGATATTTGTTATTTATTTCTTGCAATATCTATGTAGTTTGTCTTGTCCGTTTTGATTTGCATGTAGTGGGGTCGTCCTGCACTTCTTATTTAAGTTAATTTCAGACAAACAGGTGTTATAGGTCCATGTAAACATCCAAATGACTCACAAGACACACAAATTTGATCTTTCACAAAAGATTATTTTATTTTAAAAATCACTACTACTTCAAAGTCAAGAATAGTTAGATTCTACTTAAACAGGAAATTATTCATCAATCGTTTTACCTTCTGTGATGTAGGAACAGAAGAATCATCATCATCCTCCTCTGGACCAGCTATAAAACTTTCTTCAGGCAAATCACTGTAAACACAAAATAATATTACAGTCAGAGAGACATGTACATGATAAGGAGTAGGGTCACCTATTCAGTCCCGTGGGTTTTCTCCATGTCCTCTGGTTTCTCACACAGCTAAAGAATTATTGAAATAAAATTTAACCATTATGTTAGTCTCGAAATGACCTAGTTTGTGTCAAGTAGACGTTAAACCCCATTAATTTCATTTCTAGTACCAACACTACTTTTATACACAGTGAGATGTATTTGATGCCAAGAAGGGAAATAACTCTGTGAACAATATTCTTAAATTGGGAACAGTTCTGTCACCTGATATCTGAACTCTGTGAAGAAGAGAGTTGATCATCACTACAGCTAGCCTCTGGTAAAATATCAACTTTTTTGTTTTTAACTTGTTGCATCTTTTTTCCTTTGACTGGTTGTTTAGTTGACTTTTTGCTATTTTTTCCCGATTTCTGACCAGGTTTTAAGGATGTTGCGGCTGCAGCTTCAATCTCTGCCTGCTTTATTCTCTTCAATTTTTCTTCGTCCAGATCACAGTCACTATCTGTTTCATCTAGGATGACATAAAAAATTAGTGTCAAGGTATGAAATGTAGTTTGTCAACACTGTAATTTTAAAAGGAAAGAGAGAGAGAGAGAAATGGGGTTTAACGTCCACTCGACACAAACTAGGTCATTTCGGGACTAACATATGGTTTAATTTTATTTCAATAATTCGCTTGCGCGTAGGGGTCTTTAGCAGTGGGAGGAAACCGGAGGACCTGGAGAAAACCCACGAGGTTGGACAGGCGACCCTATTCCTTGTCACGTACAACCAGGGATTCGAAACCACGCCAGTCGACTCAATGACAGACTTTATGATACAGCGCGCGCACGCTAACCATTCAGCCATCCAACTCCCCTTTAAAGGAAAGAAATGGAATTTAACAGTCATACGACACAAACTAGGTCATTTCAGGACTAACTTATGATAGAGAGAAAGAGAGAAATGGAGTTTAAATCCATTCAACACAAACTAAGTCATTTTGGGACTAACACATAGTTCAATTTTATTTCAATAATTCGCTTGCGCGTAGGGGTCTTTAGCAATGGGAGGAAACCGGAGGACCTGGAGAAAACCCACAAGGTTGGACAGACGACCCTACTCCTTGTCAGGTACAACCGGGTAATAGAAATCACACCAGTTGACTCAATGACAGACCTTATGATACAGCGCGCACATGCTAACCATTCGGCCATATGTAAATTAGTTAAAGTAGTAAGTAACTGTAGTTATTACTTACATTGATGTGTCTGACTATAAATCTGTGTTAGAACTGTCACCATCCTCTTCTTACATGCTGGTCGTAAACCATATTTGTCTATATGTTTCTACAATTATAGGTACAATACAATATCAAATTAACACTTTCTAAATGGATAAATAAATAAAAACCATTAAAATCTAATCAATGGTCAGAATCCTAGTAATGAGAGAGAAAGAAATGGGGTTTAACATCCACTCGACACAAGCTAGGTCATTTCAGGACTAACCTATGACTTTATTTTTACGAGTATCTGTGCAATGGTTTCAATATAAATCTCCTATGTCATTGCCATAATTTAATATTTTGCATATCCCAAACTCAAAAGATCGAAATCAAATGCCATCTAATGGTCAGGGTTTGTTTTGTTTGCAACACATGGATCTGTCAAAGTTAAATCACCCCGGCAACAACTTCATTGGTTTCGCCCAACACGTGACGAAAGCATTGTTGTCTTCCACTCAGTCGAAATTACAAGTAAATAGTCAAGAGAGAACTTTTTTATTTGTTGGGATAATTAGTTGGAGTTAATTTAACCGGAGTTGATTTAACCAGAGTTGATTTCAAACACACAGGTAAGTTTATAATAACCAGAGTTAAGTAGTTTGTTCATAATTGAAGAAATCCGTTATTTATGACGGTTCAAACAGTAAATATAATTACCTTTAGTTGAGGTGTGTTCATTGTAGGATAATCTGGTATGGGTGTAAATGGTGATGGTGGGACCCAATTTTTCTTTCTTCGTTTTTTCTTACAACTTTCACTAACTGTTGGAGTTTTAAAATTTGTCTGTAATAATTGAATATTATTTTCAGCACAGTTTCTGAAAGCAATCTTTCTCAAAATATATTTTCTCAAATTATATTTTCAATATCATCAAGACAAAAACAAATATAAACATGAGTCTCAGTACCTGCAGCAAATGTTTATATTTTTTTTTTTGTAATGTCGAAATCTCAAATATATTTCAGTGACGAAAAATGGTTAATTCTTACAACCCTTTGTTCTATTCCTAAACTACTATTTAAAGCTATGTGCTATATTTCCAAAGTGTTCTGGGGGATCACGTGGCTAAGTGGGTAAGACGCTGGCTCGCTAGCCTTGAGGTCGGGTGTTCGATCAAATAGTCTCTTTTATCAGGTCACTCAATGAAAACTCATTAGATAAACACTTTAAACTGTTCTTACTATCATTTCCAAACGATTCACTATTTTGAACTGGAACTTTTAGAAAAATTAAATAGGTTATTTCTTCATATTTTGGTGTCTCATATGCCAACTGAAAACAGTTATTTCTACTTTCAATTCATTGTGTTATATATACATACCCCTGGTGTTACATTGGTCAAAACACTGATCGGTGGTTCATTATTATCTTCCCATAATGCACTGTCATTTAAATCTTCACCCATTTCCATCACTTCTGCTTCTTCTTCAGTTATCTCCCTTTCTTCATCATCACAAGAAGCCTGTTAATGAAACATATCGTTCAGAAAGAAATATAGAAGATATATGTTTCATAAAATATTCATGTCCATATAGTTGTGGTTTTTTTTTTTAAATAGTTGGTGGGATTTATCGCCAAACGATTGCAAATTTGATACTGGAATTGTTTATCAAGTTTTTGCATTCTTGAATAAGAAACTTTGTTCCTGCATTCCAGTCCACCCAGCTACTGAGCTCTTTGTGCGGTACAAGTTCAGGTGCTTTCTAAGATTAAAACGTTCAAGGGAGGTAATCAGGCTTTAACTGGGGCTTTATTTACGAATAAAAGTCTACATTCTTAATGTTTCCGTGAATACCAGGGTAATAACTGTATAACCCTTAGTGTTGTGGATACAGCGCATTATAAATATATTTACATACACATTATCATAATAATTATTTAATAGAGAGTTCAAACTTTTGTGTGGGTCATATCCAATCTGATTAAAATACCGATCTATATTTCGTTTCGTTTTTTTATACTTTCGATGGCCTACACTACATGAAGATCTGACAAGTTAGGTCACGTCAGGGGTCAAAAGACCGACTTATGACCCTATGATGTCAGACATTTGATTAATCAATCAGCATTGATGTTACTAGTGGATTACCCACAGTTCCGTGCAAAACATGCCTAAACCTCGCCGTGACAGACCGTTTCATTTGCTTATCCACGACACCATTCAGAACACAAGTTAAATAACAACTCTTCCAGATCCAAGTGTAGTAAAGACAAGTAAAACGAAATTTTTAACTATAAAAACGAAACGAAATAGGATCTGTGTTTTAACCAGATTGGGTCATATCAAGCTATATACAGCTACAGAAGTAACACAGATATCAAAAAAATAAATGAGAAACAAGTCAAACATGCTTCCGATGTGTGTGATTTTACTAGAATCCGGAATCATGAAATAACTGAGGATCATACTTTGTATGAAGTTGGGTGCTTGATAAACACATTTTTCAGTGCATTACATTATACTTTTCCTTTATTTATAGAGAAGTTATAATAGAAACCTGATGTTTTGAAGGAGATGGTGGATCACAATAAACATCATCTTCATTATAACCGATATCATCAAAACCTTCCCATACATCATCTTCTATACCTGTAAATAAATCATAGTTTCATTTCACTAGTTATCATTTATTCAATGTAATCATTTAATATCTTAAAGGACAATATTGGTGTCAGTCATTATCACATATGTGACAGAACTGGTTAAACATGTTCCAAATATAATTTTAACACAGAGATCATTGCTAGGATAGATGCGTTATGAAGATTTCAAGAAAGGGAAGTGACAAACGCAAAAGAAAAACACAAGTTATCCTTCTATATAACTGACTGAAGTGACGAGTGATAACAGATACACGGGTGAATTTTTGCTCACTAATAATTCTTTCAAAGACCAAAAGTTGTTATGAGACTGTGGGGGGATATCTGACAATTCCCAGAAATAATTGACTATCACTAAATAAGAGAAAACGAGAAAAATAGAAATAGTGCATTACCATGTTTTTATTAAGTATAGAATTAAAAAAAAAACAAAGGAATGTACGAACTATTTCTATTTTTCAGGTTTCCTCTCACAGTCTTACATAACAACTTTTGGTCTTGGAAGGAATTATTAGTGAGCAGAAATTTGCTTGTGTATCTGTTATCACTCATCACTTCAGTCAGTTATATAGAAGGATAACTTGTGTTTACTTGAAAACTTCATAACGCAGCTATCGTAGCAATGATCCCTGTGTTAAAATTATATTTGTAACATGTTTAGCCAGTTCCATCACATATGTGATAATGACTGACACCACAAAGGAGATAAATAACATATCATATTCTATACTATTCAAAAAAAGTAGGGGATATTTGATTTTGGGGGCATAATACTAAAATATGCAAATGACTACGAAAAAAGTCACTATAGAACCTAACAGAAGAAACATTTCCAGTTACATGTGACGCCCAAACGCACCAATAGCTACCGCATGGAATGCAGGTGATGCTTGGGATCATCATAGGGGTCAAACCCAAGATTTGCACGACTCTGACTTTGAATGTTACAGTCATTGTGGCATTGAATTCCAGGGTGGAAACATCAGTTTAATTGTTTTAGTGACCAGAAAACAAATTTTGATATGCGTCGGCTTACCCAAAATGAAAGGTTACGTGCCCTTGGCATGCTACAGATCGGCACAACACAGGCGGTTGTGGCGCGGACGATGAATGTTTCTCAGTCTGTCATAAGCAGGCTATGGTCCAGATACCGTGATACACAATCTGTACAGGACAGACCACGCTCAGGTCGACCAAGGGCGACAACTCAAGCCCAGGATCGATTTATCCGTACCTTGGCCTTGAGAAATCGTGTCATCACAGCAAATCAGATCAGCGCTCGTCTTCAAACAGACACTGGTGTGAGAGTGAGTGGCCAGACGATTCGGAATCGACTGCATAGGGGTCACCTTCGCGCCCGACGTCCTCGCGTGATCCCTTGTTTGAGAGATCATCACATTCAGGCAAGACGTCGTTGGTGTAGGGATCGTCAACACTGGGATAATCGACGCTGGAGCAATGTGATGTTTTCAGATGAGTCAAGGTTCACTGTTGATTTTTTGGACAGACGTAGGAGGGTGTGGCGTCGTCGAAACGAGCGCTTCCAAGACGTTAACGTCATCAGACATGATCGATTTGGGGGTGGTTCTGTTATGGTGTGGGGAGGCATCACTGTTGCTGGAAGAACGGCTTTACATGTTGTTGCAGGGCGTGTTACAGGCCAGTACTACCGGGACAACATCTTGGCAGTCCATGTTGTGCCGTTCGCACGACGTCATGGCCGCCGTTTCATCTTCCAGGATGACAACGCAAGATGTCACAGGGCAAGATGTCACAGGTTACCTCCAACAACAGAACATCACCACATTACCTTGGCCAGCACTGAGTCCCGACCTCTCCCCCATCGAGCATGTCTGGGACATGCTTGGACAGAGGTTACGTCAACGTCAACAACGTCCTGCCAATGTCCAAGAACTTGCTGCTGCGTTGCAACAGGAATGGGACAATCTGGACCAAAATGACCTTAGACGTCTCATTAGGAGTATGCCACGTCGGATCAATGCTTGTTTGGCAAACAGAGGAGGATTTACCCGTTACTGACTTGGTTGTGATGCTATGGTAACTTTGCTATTTGACCCCGGGTATCATTTTACCCTTATAATGGTCAGTCTGTGCCTTACTTAGTCTAACGATCATTTGGAATAAATCAATGAATGTGAACTTCATTTCATTTTGTCATTTGCTTCTTCGTCAGTTTCATTAGGTGACTTTAATAACACTTAAAAATCAAATATCCCCTACTTTTTTTGAATAGTATATTTCTTAATTAACAAATAAAATAAAATGGGGTTGAATGTGTTACTTTTCTACTCCTTTCAAGCTACTAAGATATACCATGCAGTGTGCTATGAGTCAAATTGGCCCGGAGAGCGACACTACGGTTTAACGTCCTACTGTTCTGCTCCTATACTGGGCCATTTCCAACAATCAAAGGTTCTTTTAAGTGAATGCCACATATACACATAGGACCTGTTTATTTCACCCAACTGAACAAACAGGCATCCTGAGCCACTGACAAGGAAAAACCATAGCAAATAATCCTGAGAAACTATCTCAGCCAACACCTGGATGAAACCCAGGACCTCCTTGCTCACTGATAAATGAAAAACTATTTGAATTGGAACATTCGCAGAAAATGTGAACTCTGGCAGATAATTATCTAAAAATACCTGAATTCAAGTTAACATCCTCTACATTACTTGATCCTTGCTTTGACATCTGGGACTTCAAACTTTTACCAAACTTGGGAGAATGTGAATAGTCATTACTTTTTTCTACTAAATTTTCACTTAATATTTCTACATCGGAATCACCACCAGCGTTTACATTCTCATCATTCCTAACAACCATGTTATTTTGATGGTCATTGGTCACTTCTTGATCACTTTCATTAGAGTCAGTTTTAATCATGTGTCGAGATACTGATACTGACGGGCGATTGGATAATTTTGTTTTGTCTTTTTCACTAAAGGAATTACCAAGATAATTTCTATCATCATTATTTTGTCCTAAAACCGACGAATTTGTCACTTTGTTCACCTTTATGTTGCTGTTGCTAGGAGAGGAAGGTGATTGTGTGCGGTTATCACTAACAGGCTTGATATACGCTGAATCAAGTTCATTCACAGAACAATAATGACCCATTGTTTCATTAGACAACATATTATTCGATGTCGACACTTGATATAATTTATTTGACGGCATTTGTACATTTGGCAAACTTTTTTGCTTTTTTAATATTGATAAATTTGGCGAAGATCCTTTAATTTTATCTGCTACTGTATATCTTACAGATGGACTGTCTGATAATCTATTTTTAGAACAATCTTTATCTGTATCAGTGAACTCTGACCCTAATACATTGTGACTGACCTTCGACCCAGGATGAGAATCACTATCACTTGTTTCACTGATATCTTTCGACAAATTTTTTCTCGGTTTTCCCTTTTTAAATTTAAATCCTCCAACTTTCTTGGCTATTCTTCGCTCAGCTTCATGTGATAATTTATCAATGACCTTTTTAGGAGATTTATAAGCACCAGTGATTGGCTGATGTGATTTTTGTGCAGCCAATGAAATAGGGCTACCATGTTTATTCACAGACACTAATCTCAATTTACTCGGGGATGTTTGGTATTTTTTTGTTTGATTAACACAACGAGAGTTGGAAGGAGATTTATTGACTTCCAATAATTCAGAATTTGTGTTTCTGGTAGGAGAATTGCAGTCACCATCTGAATCTGTCAAAAGAATTGGATTCTCTATAGAGTTTTCTTCTAAGGCACTGGCATTGTCTGCATCCTTTGGCAAACTTTCATGTAATATCTCATCAGATATGTTCAGTTTTCTGTCATTCATCTCTTTACCCTTTTCAGTTTGTTTTTGTACAACATCTGCAGGATGTACTTGAGAGTTATCTCCTCTTTCCATAAATTCAGCAGAGTTATCTCCCTTGTCTGTTTTATCTATTTTAATACAATTTGTGTGGGGACTGTTTATTTCTTCATCACTGAAAAGTTCATCATCACTAACGGGACATTGGCTGGGATCAAAATTAAAAACGCTACCTGTGCAAATACTTGGTGCCTGTGAGAAATTTTGGTTTGGAATAATCGGCGAATCTGCCTCATGTCTTTCAGCTGTATTTTCTTCGCTTGATTCGTAATGCTGGGAAAAATTTAAATTTGCAATAACAGGTGAAGAAGATTTGTCACCTTCAGTTTTTTCATCATCAATAAATTCAGCATTATCACAACTGAAATCTTGTTTAGAAAAGTTAAGTTCATCTGCAATATTTTCATCATCCACGGGAAGTTCATTATTCTGGGAAACATTTAAATTTGTAATAACTGGAGAAGAGAGCCTATCACTGTTTTCATGTTTATCTTGTGGATTATTGTCCTCATTGCTGGACGCAGAATTCTGAGAAAAGTTTAAATTTGTATCAACTGGTGAGAACGAATTTTCATTACTTTTATGTCGATCGCTTACGTTATTCTCATCACTGCTTGACGCAAAGTTCTGAGACATGTTCAAATTTTTATTTATTGGTGATGACGGAACAAATTTGACTGAAAGGTCATGATCATCTGTTTCATCTTCACTCATCTCAAAATTCTGAGAAAAATTTGTTGTTATCAGAGAAAACTGTTTATCTTGATGGTTTCCTGTTTCTAGAATTTTGTCTTTGTCCACCACACTACTAAAATATTTTTGGGGGGAATAATTTAAAATAGGAGAATCTGACTTTTGTTCATTCAAAATTATTGTACTCAACTGCAAAGGAATGGATGAAGGATTTTTGTCATTATCTAATTTAATTTCTCCATCACTACTTGAATTAGTGTCAATATATTCACTTTTATTTACTAAACTTCCTGGTGCTACTTCAGCCAGGTCTAAAACTTTCAATTCTTCTTCAAACTCCATGTCTGAATCAACAGAAAATTCATCAACATGCTCATGTTCCAAAAGTTGAATATCGTCCTTAACTTTGTCTGAATCACTAGGAACTTCATCAACATGCTGATGATCAAAAATCTGAATATCGTCCTTCAGTTTAACAGTTCTATCAGTTTTTGTTAGATATGTACAGCCATTGTTGGATGTGCTAGAAATTGTATGCTGGGATACTGTGGACATTATTTCAGTATCAACATTCATGTCTTCCACCTTTCTTTCAACGGAAGATTTGACATCGATTAACAATTTATTCACAACTTCAGAATTCTCAGAAGACATTTTTAAAATTCCTTTTTGTTCATCATCACTTATATCACTCCTCATTTTTAACCGCTTTTTAAATAATTCCCTTTTATTTTTTATTTCCATATGGTTCAATACGGTTGTCTCTTCATCAAAGTTTCCATTATCTGACTTCTCATCAGTTTCGACATCCATGATCTCATCAAAATCATCACTTTCGCTGTCTTCTTTTTGCTCTGTCGATTGTTTGCGTAATTTTTCTCGTTGCGTGTAAAACATTTCTCTCCAGTCATCTTCTTCAGCATCTTCCTGACCTTCAACTTCATCTCCCTCTGCATGACCTTCAACCTCATCCTCACTGTCTGAAGAGCTCCATAACGTTTGTTCCAGGATATCCAGTTGCTGATCTTCAGTAGGTTCTTCAGTGACTGGCTGATTTTTCTTTAAATCGATCACAGATTTACAGATATTTGCCAGCTGAGATAAACCAAGTCTGAAAATTGAAATATAATTTGTAAGAAAACTGAATAAAATCATTGGATACATATGTCAGAGCTAAATATACAGGTTTTTATTTTGGCTAATGTTACATAAAAAATTATTATTTTGACATTTATTAACACGACAAGCCCATAAAAATTAGCGATAAAATGGACAATTGTGACTTAGCCTCATTTGTCCAGTACCGTTGCTATGATAATAAACCATCTACGCTACATCTTCCAACACTCCTAACTTTGCTCAGAATAAAGTAATTTGAATGAAATTTTCCATGTATTCATTTTTCATTATCTATTTTTGAATTATTATAGCAAGAACGGCCAGCTATTTATCTAAATCTTACATAATGCATCTTTAAGATTCAATATGTTTGTAGATGATCACTGTAGAGTATGTTTTAACTACATGCACAGACTATATGTGCTTGGTTTTCCTTAATCAATAACAATATAGTTACTTTAAACAAATTCCTAATTGATGTATATCAAATTAGAAGCTAAATAATTTCCTAATTGATGTATACCAAATTAGAAGCTAAACAATTTCCTAATTGATGTATACCAAATCAAAGAAAAACACATTCCTAATTGATATATACCAAATCAAAGAAAAACATCTCATATAAATGCATATTTTCATCACATATAAATTTGGTTATCAATACCGGAATAAATTATATGCATATAGTTTAGATTGTTATGCCAGCGTGTCTCACTTAACCAGACCTCATCATAAATAAACATTTTTTGATTTGTTCTTTATGAACATTAGTAAAATTTGCCTTTATAAATCATAGTGTTCTTTGTGAAATCTCTTAAGAAATAACTTACAATGTCGATAGATCTAAAACATCTTGAATACTGCCAGGATAAAGATGAATGGTACCAGAATAAATAAAGGTTAATATAGATAATATAACCTCCTCATTATAAGTAGACATATCTATAGTGGTTCCATCCAGGGATAATTGCTGAAAACATACAAAATAGGTTGCCAGGCAACAAGACAAACACCAAACAGCAGCTTTCTAGACAGGGTCACAATTTGCCACAACTTTAATGTGTTTGTAATAAAAAGTGTAATAATTTCATTGAAAGTGTAATCAAATTCAACATCTCAACACATAGGCCCTGTATAGAATGTTTACATGGTTTTGCATTCAAGGGCCATAACTCCTGTCTTTCTTTAACTATAATAGATTTTTAAATTTCATAAAGTGAATTTCCAGTAGATCCAACACTACATGGAAAGATTTGTTCATTCAGCTTTCCACATATATTGCTTCACATTTCAAGGACCGGAAATCCTTTAAAAAAACCAGTGCCTAGTTATTCTGACTCAAGCCCCGGCTAACATCCATTAACAGACAGCTATCAGATCCTGGGGAAAGATGAAATGAAATGAAATGGGGTTTAACGTCCTACTGTTTTGCTCCGAACTGGGCTAATGAAGACGGGCATACGCCATACAGTGTGCTATTAAGTAAATTTTGCCCGGACAGCGGCACTACGGCCTACTCTTATATCGAATTCCAACTGCCAAGGGATCTTTTACGTGCACGCCAATGTGTACACGGGACCTCGGTTTTTTGACCCATCCGAACGACTAGACAGCTTTCCTTGTCAGCCCCTCCGCCCTGCATCACTGACAAGGGAGAACCACGCGGAAAATCTTGATGAACTTTCTCGGCCAATGCAGGGATCAAAAACCCGACCTCCAGGCTAGCGAGCCAGCTTCTTACCCACTTAACTACGTGATCCCCCTGGGGAAAGATATCTGAAGAGTTAGACCAGATGACAATTGTTAGCCAAATAGAAATACAGATAGGTTTTCTTTCGTTTGGTGGAGTTTAAAACTATAAAACAAAACACTTTGTTTTCAAGAAGCAATAAGGTCCAAGGGTCAAGATGATTCACAAATTTCTATCCAGCTATTTATCATTTAATAACAATTTTTGCCATTTATAAGAAAGGTGGAGCTTGATTATGGCACCAGCAATTCAGAAGGAAAAACCTCAAAATAACTGAGTTTTGTATTCTTGAATGGCATTTAGTAATTCGAACATAATCGAATAAAACGCTATTTATGGATAACAATTACTTTGGCTTATTAAGCATACATATCAAGCATACATGCATGTCATCATTAATATTTAATTCATTTGTGTTGATATATGCTTGATTACAACTTGTTAAATCTTGTTGAAACGTCACAGCCTAGTAATTGTTATCCATAAATAGGGGGTGGGGTTTTAACTGCGTTTTGTATTTTACTTATTTACAACCCTATTTGTAAACTATTACCTCCATTATTTTCGGACATCTTGTATAAAGGAATATTTTATGAGCAGGAATCTTCTGATCTCTTGTTACTATGGTAACATCTGTGAATATTTGAGAATTAACCAATGGTAGAAGAGATGACTGAAGGTTATCAAATGTTGATTTCTGAATATCAACCTGTAGAATGGACATTTAAAAATCCATCAATACAGAAATATTTCTTTGAAACATATCCTATTTTGAAATCATTTATATAAAAAGAAAAATAATATTAAAATTTGGAATCCTAATTAAAAAACACCCCCATAAAAGACTTAAAAAACAGAAAAAAGAACAAATTACAGGAATTTCCAAAGGATTTTCAGGACAAAATCCACTACAATGCAGGGCTTCATTTGAAGGTGAGGATGTGTTGACAGATTCAAGATGACCACTGGTTGCATCTGCATCAGCTGCAAGTTGAGCTAGTATGGTGCCTGTTTGAGTTATTGGTGGAGAAGAACTGACTTGATTGGTTGAAGATTTACTGGTAGCTGGAGACAGTTCTTTAGAGTTATGCTGTTCTGACAACCTTTCTGTCATCTGCTCTTGCAACTTTAACTCTTTCTCTCTCTGAAATTAAACATTTGGACAATAAAAAAAACATTTAATAAAATTGTATATTTAGACTTGTGACTTCGGTTACATTTAGAACGGTATATGTTATAATTTCTGAGCTTTTGTCGGTTATAGGGGACCCTTCACTTTTCAGGAATTCCTTAAAAAAGCGTTTCAGCTTACATTTCATCACGTTACAACTGTCAAGGGTTCTTTTACATGTATACCAACAAGTACTAGATACTTTTGTTTTCTTGCCAGGAAGTCTGTTCTGCATCACTGATAAGGGGACACTACTCACAGAGTTTATAAAGCGTTCTCAGTCTTAAGTTAAGAATTTACTCAACTTTCAATCACTGTTTATGAGAAATATCTTTGATCCAGAAACATAAAACTTTCCACTAGTGCCAGAGATCATAATGGATTTTCAGACTTAAGTTAAGAATTTACTTAACTTTCAATAACTGTTTATGAGAAATATCTTTGATCCAGAAACACAAAACTTTGCACATAGTTTCTTATTGATGTATTTGATATATTAAAATAACAATAGGTTTATAAAGGGCTATTTTTAGTTAAAATAACTTTGAGTAAATTTTTAACATCTGCCTGAGAATGTTTTGTGAAACCAGTACCTGGAAAATCCTGATAGTGACCTAATACCAAACTCACTGAGCCACTGCGGGCCTCGATTTCATGTCAACATTAACATTCAGTACTATTGAGCCTACCTCTAACTCTAAAGAACTTCTGCGTCCTGGGATTTCTGACAGCCTTTTCAGCTTACTTCCTGCTTTAACTGTTGCTATAGTTACAGTTGGCATGAGAGCTGTGACGTAAAATCTTTCCACGTTGGATGTTGTGTCCATCAAATTACTCTCATTCCATAAACGAGGCTGTAAAATCAAATAAACAGAACCATAGCTTAGGCCTAATCTTATTCAAATTCCAACTGTCAAGGGTTCTTTTACATGTACACCAACATGTACACGTGACCTAGGTTGTTTTTTTTTTGTCCCAATAGAAAGAATGCATGCTGTTCCTTGCCAGGAACTCCATAGTGCACCATTGAATGAAAGAATAAAATGTTACCTTTAGGTCTGCAGAATTAGTTGACTTATATACAGTTGATGGTACAGAGATTCCTTCTAAATTACTGCCACCAGGGGGAGTTGCATAGATTTCATCTTGACTTGACTTTAAGAAAAAAACAAATAATCAAATATATCTGTATGAAGTTTTGAAACCTAAATTCTGACCATCTTGATCCCTTCAGTTGGGAAAAAATACAATTTCATCAAATCAGTAAAACATTTTAAAAAGAAAATTGAAAGTAGGGTTTACCTGTGGAATAATTAACCGTGTAAGTTTATTAGCAATACGATCTTTAGCTTGTTCTTTACTGAGTTGTAATATCAATGGAATCTCTTCTATTTTACTGTAAAATAAACAAACATTGTCAGGCAATGAAAAACACCTGCCCTGGATTAACCATTAAGAAAAATATGCAAGTAGAGGAGATTCATTGTCTGAAATCACTGAAAATCGATATGAAACTTCCCTTAACCTATCTGAACAACCTAATAAAATTTCACAAAGATCCAATGATAACTGTGTATTCCAGGGACAAGTTTTACGAAACTCATGTCAAGCTATATAATACAAATAATTTGACCAATCAAGTTGAATTAAAAAATAGGTTTGATAATGTTTGAATTACATGTACGAACGGAACCCTGGAAGATTTCTCTAGATTTCAATTCAAGAGACATAACCCCTGAGAGTTAGATAAGAATCATTGAAATATTTGTGTTAAAATATGGGTACAGTAGAATCTGTATGAGCAGCCACTCCTATTCAGCCACATCTCCTTGTAAGCGGTCACGATAAATTCCCCCCGTAAATATTCTATTGTTTCATCTCTTTAATCAACGGTCACTCCTCTAACGCGGCCAGCGGTCACTGTTTTACTAATAAATTTAAAAAAACATCTCCCATTCAACGGCCATTGTTGAATGATACCGTCTTGTCTTCTTCGTAACACCCCCACTTATCCCGTGATTAATAGTTAATTTGCTGGACCCCCGCTGATCAGGCAAAAAGAAATGTGAAAATAACAATAAACCCGGGATTATCTGTTAATTAATCTTTTGTTTTATTAAACGACCAACCCGCTCGTTATTTTCACGCGTAACGAAACATTATTAGATACTGATTGAATAAACTAAAAGTACCGACGAATTTTGTCACGATCATCTAGTATCTCTTTACCATTGCCACTTTGCTGCTAAACAGACGTTTTAGCGCCTCCTATAATATAACATGCAGAGTTAAACCCCCTCATAATAGGTGACGAATTCAGCGATGGTTTTTAGTTCATGTGCTTGTTTGATAAAATAAAATTAATTCATGGATTTTCTTCACAAAAATGGTAAATATTATCGAATGCATCACAATGTAGACTGTAGTATCGTTGTTGATACAAAATGATTTGTTTACAGAAGTTATGTCAGAGATTTGAGTCAAAGAATTTTCGTTCCAAGCAAGTCTTAGCGACGGCCAAATTTACCGATGCAAGTATTGATGTTCACTTGATGCATCCAAACGTAATATTTAATTGATGTCAGCACAAAAAAACACTGAGATTTTATTAAGAGGCCACTCCCGTTAAGCGGTCAGTTGTGAAAATTCAGTTGGGTGGCTGCTTAATACAGATGTATATAAAAATTAACCCTTACTTTTTCTTGTTTCTTGACTTTTTACCAGGATTGTTTTTATTTTGACCTGTGATGACCTGATCTTGTATTTTCTGTTGTTCTAATATAGATTTAGATAATGCTATGGCCAGTTGGATATCTTCATCAGATTTACTGAAAATTATCAAAAAAATTTAACAAATAATTTAATTTCAGGTGAAAGCGGAGAATCGAAACCACGCCACTTGACGGAATGTTATGATTTAACACACACACGTTAAACCATTCAGCCACCTAACCCCCTGTTAAATTTATACAATAAATCATAATAAAACAGAAAATTCAAGTATTGTGATTCACCTCTCGTGATTTGATACAGCATACATTATTCACGATCTAACTTCATTAACATGTTATAAAATATTTTAACTTAACCTGTTTCAAATGTTTACAAAAAAAAAAGGGCTGCAACTCGATAAATATAACTTACGTTTTTGGTAGTTTTTTTGTTGATATTTTCTGTTGATTTGTTGATTTCGATTTCGTCGTTTTAATTCTACAAAACATAAACAAAAAGTTAAACATAATACAGACTACTATCCTTGATCTTATAATAAGCTGATGGGTTTCCTGTCGTTAGGAAATCTAGCTCATGAGTAGAAAGTTTGTTTTAGTAGTTAAAGATATTTCATTTTTTATGATTTAGCACAAATGACACTGTGTCTGTGATCCTAGAGCCTAAGACTTACAAGATATTTTTGTAATAAACACAGACAGGATCATGGCAGAAACATACCTGATCCATACAGAGATGGAGAAGCAAAATCTTACTCTAAACCATGGCAACTCTCATCACAGCATGGAGAAACAATCTGCTTGAACTCAAACTTGAGCATCAAGATGTTGAGGAGCAATCTGCCAAGAAGCCAACTAAAAGTTTCAAACTTGAGCATCAAGGTAAGGAGAAGCAATGTATTCACCTGACAGTAGTTGGCAGTATCCCAGCAGTCACCTGTATTTTACGCTGTTCTTCTTGATCTTTTATTAATACCAATAATCTGTCCATTGGTACGCTGTATACAATGGCACATTTCTTCATGTGAGTATTGCGAGACTAAAATAATATAAATGACTGAATTAGCCGGTATATATTATATAATTTTTTCAGTCTAAGTTTCTAAACTTCTTATAGAACATAGACTACTTAGTATTTATTTCATTTTATTTTTTTCAAAACAGATTTTAGTTTTATTTAATTTTTCAAATCTTTTATTTTATTTTCGTTTCAATGGTTTTTGGGGCTTTTTTTCATTTTCATTTCAGTCTTGTTTTATTTCCATTTTAGTTTGGTTTTGTTGGAATTTTTATCTTGATGCTTATTTTTTTATACTTAATAGTTTATTTTCAATCTATTTATAACTTATAAGATATTTTTCTATAATAAACATGGGCCTCCATTAGACTACTTGTATTTTCAGTTTGTAAAATTCTTCTAGAATATAGACAGCTGTATTTTCAGTTTGTAAAGTTCTTCTAGAACCTCAGTATCAGAACTTGGACCATGACTTACTTGAGTAGTCTTCAGTGGTTTACCACAAATTGGACAATCCAATATTGCTGTTTTAGCTACTTCCAACAATTTCTTCATCTCTGCTTCTTCTTTGCCGTCTTCTTCCTTCTACAAACGTACATAAACAGTTACAAAAAAAAATTGTTTTAGGTTCACCTATTTCCATAATGTGATTTCTTTTTTATAAAGAGAATGTTTCAATGTATAGCTTTCTATGGAAATGAAATGAAATGGGATTTAACGTCCTACTCTTCTGCAGTGACTGGGCTAATGAAGATGGGCAAACACCATGCTATGAGGGAAATTTTGCCTGGACAGCCGTGCTACGGCCTACTCTTATATCAAATTCCAACTGTCAAGAGTTCTTTTACGTGCACTGCACACCAATGTGTACACAGGACCACAATGTTTTGTCCCATCCGAATGACTTAATGCTGCTCCTTGCCAGGCCTTCTGTTCTGCAGCAATGACTGACCAGTGTTAACCATGCTACATCACGAACCAAAACCTAAATTAATCTCACCTTATCTATACAACGGTTGACATGTTGAGTCCGTCTGGTCGAGTTCATATGTTTAATATCCTTCTGACAAATCTGACACATTTGATATTCATCCGCCCCTTCATTACCTCTAAATACTTCTTCTACAAAATATAGACCCAGTACATCATAATATGTATCAAACTACTTCATCTTTCTTTATTCATTTATTTAGAGAATTTATCAAAACAAGGGTCTTTTTAAGTTGCCTTGCCCATGCCATATTGCTACGGGGTGACGCAATGTTATTTCATTAGTGTAAAATTTCTAAATTAACGCCATTAAAGTTCCCTGTCCTGAACCTATAAGTTTCGGGTAAGTCAAAACTAACTGAAAAAGTCTAATTAAGATAACCTTCCTCTTCCATATTGGGCAGACTAAATTCGATCAATTTCATTTAAACAAATCTAAACACATACTACCAAAGCAATAATGGTGTTTTCTCCAATTTAAATCCATCAAATGGATCAGAAGTCTGCATTTCCCTTTAAAGTTTACTAGTACCCCTCAAGCACCAGACCCTACTTAATTTGGTCAAAATCATTTAAAATGGACAAAAAAATTAAAGTGCTCCTGTCCTACCTCTATGCCAACCATCAACAAATTTAAACAATGTAAAATCCAAATTTAGGTGAAACCCTTCTAGTGGTTTAGGAGAAAAGTCAAAATTACATGTACATCTAAATTTGGGCATTTATGGTGCCCTGTCCCCCTCACCTACTCCTGTGGGCCAAATTTACTTCATTTTAATCAATCTCAATAACCACTGGCCAAGCAAAATATAGTAGTGTGCCGGTGCAATACTATTTTGGCTCCAAAATAAGCGAGTTTGCTATTCCTTTCCCAGTGACATTAAGTGCAGGAACATTTACCATTCAAAGCTTTTGGTTAAAAAGGTTGATGCAATTATAAATTAGGACTTAAAAAGTATTTAACAGAGTGGGACTGGGAACCAGATGTTTCTTGATAATCTTAAAATGACATTTAGTAACTGGACAGAGTAAAAACAAAAACACATAAAAATTTATTGAAAACAGCTACTAATGTATTTTATGTTTCTTTTTTAAATGTCCTTAAGCCTTAAAAATAAAAGGATTTTAAACTATAATTGTTACCTTGGCTACTTGTTTTTTTGACCAATGAAAATTGCTTTAAACACTGAAGAATGTGAGCTTGAAATTGTGATGAAGTTATGCCCCTTTGACATGTTGGACATTTCTGCTGAGAATCTTCATTTTCTTCATCACTATCAATATTTGATTTTGACTCTGTTGAGACAAATGAAGGGGAAGCAATTCCTGAAGTCTTCCTTGGAACAGTTACCTCCCCTGCATCTAAGTTTGCAGAACTTTGTCCAATCTCAACAGAACTGCTAACATTTTCAAGTTTTCTTTTTGGGGGTAATCTCTGTACAGAGAACGGCTTTTCTTGAAATTCATTGGTTTCATTTGAATTGACATTTGTCAATTGATTCAGTGGTTTAGCTGTTTTGGACTTTGTACTATTTTTAAACAATGAAAGTTTGGCTTTTTTCAGCAAATTCTTGCGATGAGAATTTTTCACTTTCTCTAAGACTCCATTACAGTCATTTTCATTTTTTCTGGGAGTAATTTTATTTTTATCATCCATTTCACCATCTACAAAGATTTCAAAAAGATATTTCAAATATCAGACATTGTATATCTGTAGTTTGATAGAATTCTCTCTGCTTTCCACGTACTTCTGTTTTCTTGAGCAGAAAAAAAAAGAACGACTGGGATTTAACGTCCCTTCAACACAATGTTTCGAGACTAATATATGGAATTGTTTACTTCCTTGTTAGATGTGCAAGCACAATGGAAGGGACATTTGGATGGGAGGCTGTGTTTCCTCCTACTCTTCTATGTACTATCCAACAAATAGACAAAATTTCTTAAATTACGGGCCTGCTCTAGACTAGTACAAGTGCTAGCCACAAATCTATAAGATAAAGCGCTTTCGTTTCAAGGATTTTCTGAACACTGATACTGAAAATGAAATTAAGGACCCAAAGTACATGTATAGATGTAAACTGAATCAGGCTATACTCTACACATGTAATCTGAGTCATGTCATATGGGACACACGTAATCTCAGTCATGTTATATGGGTCACATGTAATTTGAGTCATGTCATATGGGACACATGTAATTTGAGTCATGTCATATGGGACACATGTAATTTGAGTCATGTCATACGGGACATGTGATCTGGATCATGTCATATGGGACACAATTAATCTGGATCATGTCATATGGGACACAGGTAATCTGGATCATGTCATATGGCCAGGACATGTAATCTGGATCATGTCATATGGGACACATGTAATCTGGATCATGTCATATAGCTGGGACATGTAATCTGGATCATGTCATATGGGACACGTGTAATCTGGATCATGCCATATGGGACACATGTAATCTGAGTCATAGCTTATGAGACATATGTAATCTAGGTCATGCCTTATGTGTTGTTTTTTTCTAAGAATATATGAAATTTGATCATTTTCTCGAATCATGTCATATGGCTGGGACATGTAATCTGGATCATGTCATATGGGACACGTGTAATCTGGATCATGCTATATGGGACACATGTAATCTGAGTCATAGCTTATGAGACATATGTAATCTAGGTCATGCTTTATGTGTTGTTTTTTTCTAAGAATATATGAAATTTGATCATTTTCTCGAATTTTACCTATCAAAAGATTTTACCATCCTGACCAAATAATCCTTTTAGGTACAAAAAATCCATTTAATTTGGAAAAAGATCTTTAATCATAAAATAGATTACAAAATTTAAACAACTGGAGTTAGACTTATTATTAAAACAGTTAATTCTCCTTAGAAACAACAGATATGGATGCACAGTCGCACACAGATATTCAGCATTCTTTTATATAGCCAAAGATAGACTGCCAGTCCAACCACATAGCTACTAGCTAGTTATCCTACTGAAATGTCTAGAAGTGGTCTCTACATCAACACTACGGATCTAAAATCGTTTGTCAAACTGAAGAAAAGAACTATGGAATACTTCATTGTCTTTTTCCTATATCATTATATACACTATTTAGTCAAAAGTCAAGAAATATAATAACTATGTATTTACACATTTTTTATTCAAAATTTCTTCTTCAAGTTCAACCCAACCTCTTTCTGCTTCATTCTTTCTTCATATTCTTCTTTAAGTCTTCTATCTGCGTCTCTTTCCGCTTCTCGCATAGATTGCTTAATATTTTGTAAAATTTCTTGCATTCTATTCCTAAATACACTACAATAAAAATATATAATCATTATACTTCACATTTTAATATCCAACATTCCAGAATGAAAGTTAAAATAATGTCATCTCTTTAACTTAAGGTCAAAAATAAACTTGCTGATTTCATGTGATATTTGGAAGCCATGTTGGTTCAGTGGGTAAGGTGCTAGCTCACTAACCAAGAGGTCCAGGGACATTTTCACGAAATCCTGTTTGTATTGACTGGAGATGATGCCACATATAGCAAAATTTTCAATTCAGCATAACTTTGTGACTTCAGATTAATAATTTGTTTGGATGTAGAGGGCTTTAAAAGTGTGAAGAAACCAGAGGTGACTCTACTCCTTGATGCATAGATTAGGATCCAAATCCCACAACTTGAGACAATGACAGACCTTATGTTCTAGACCACACAACCATCCTACTCAAATGTGTTTAGTGTTTCTAATGTCCGCTACCACCAAGGGTAATATTGCAGACAAGCTGTCTTATTTTCATTTTTATTATCTTAGTGCACGAGCAGGGGTCTTTCCTGTGGGAGGAAACCAGAGTACCCGGAGTAAACCCACGCAGTTGGGAAGGCACCCCTGGCACCCTATCTCCTATCACATACTCCTACACCAAAGATCAAAACACCAACCGGCCAGCTATGAGGGAAATTTTGCCCGAACAATGCAGGGACCAAACACCCGACCTCCAGACTAGCGAGCCAGCGTCTTACCCACTTAGCCACCGTCACCCCCGGGGCAGCTAGAGCTTACTCTAGACCACTAGGCCATCCCAACACACTCCCCCCACCTTCCACCTACCCAAAAAAAGATGAGCAGTTTTATATAGCCATGTGTGCTTTAAAAACTTACTATGCAAAAAGGCAACCTGAACTAAAACATAAAGCCATGGAACCAAAAATAAATCCATTTAGATATCGTCGCATTGGTGTTCCTGTGGCCCATCTTTTACTGCGGTTTACTTCGCGGGCACTGGTCATAGTATATAGTAATTCTGTTCTGCTGTTTAAAAATAAAATCAATATTATCTGTTAGCTATGTCTATTTCAAGTTCCAACAATACAGTGAATTAATATTGTTTATCAAATATCTAAAACTTATAATCAGTATACTATGATATAAGGCCAAACAAATAAAGGATAGGTAGAGACTCTACTAGAGAGTTTATTGCATTGACATTGTAACCCTCATTTAGAGACTTTCACTATGGTTATAGGCTGGTCCGGTACCACAATTTACCCAAATTCACCATTACTTCAACTCATATCACAATAATTTAAATAGATTTTTGATAATGTATGTCAAATTGTCAGTTTTAATTCAAAATTGTAGTGTTTTTGTATCCAAATGTGATTTCCATGAAAGTTTAGAAGTCATAACCAAGAGTATAACTTGCTTAATACTTGCTTGGAAATTGAATTTTGAGAGGTATTTAAGACACCAAAACTCTTCCATTTTAAATTAAGACAGGTTGCCAGGCAACGAAACATACCCCCACAGCAGCAAAATCGTCCAAGCAGTCAACAAGGGTTGTCGCATATTTATTCTTTTGTAGGTAATTGGGGGGATTTACAAGACAATTTCATACAGATCAGATTATAATTTTTGTCATTTGAAGGTTCACAAGGTTCTACAAACTGTAACATGGGCCTTAACACTGGAAGCAATTTACAGAAAATTGTGAAATTTGACAGGCTTTTTCATTTTACTAATTTAAATAATGCATATAAATTTCATACAGACCAGATGATAACTTTTATCATTCTAACGTTCATAAGATTCACAAAGTAAAACAAGGGCCACAACTCTAGAAATAACAGATAGAAATTTCTGAAATTCAATAGACCTCCGTTTCACAAATTTAAATGATGCATATAAATTCCATACATATCGGATGAGAACTTTCATCAATCGAGCATTAACAAGGTTGAACAAAGTGAAACAAGAGCCATAACTCTAGAAGTAATTATTACAAATTGCTGATATTCAATAGGTTTCATGGCTTCACTAATCTAAATGAAGCATTTAAATTTCATACAGACTGGATGATAACTTTTGGCGTTAAAGCGTTCACACGGTCCAACTCCAGACGTAATAAACTCAAATGGCTGAAATTCAAAGGCTTCTTCGTTTCACTAAATTAAATAATGCATATAAATTTTACAAAGATTGGATGATAACTTTTGGCGTGAAAGTGAAACAAGGGTGAAAACCTTAGATATAATTAACAGATTCTTTTTTTTACCAATCTAAATGACTCATAAATTTCATACACAGATCAGCAGATAACATTTGATGTTAGAGTGTTCACAAGCTAAACCAAAGGACATAACATTAGAGGTAATTAACAGAAATTTATATTGAAATTAAATAGACTTCATCTCACTAATGTAAACAAATATCAATTTTAAAACAATCAGATGATAACTTTTGGCATACGAGTGTTCACAAGGTAAAACAAGGGACATAACATTAGAAGTAATTAACAGAAATTATTGAAATTACATAGATTTCTTCATTCACTAGAAATTGTGGACGACGGACGAACGGACCGACAGACGGATTGATGGGGGTGGGGCGAGATGGAATATACATCCATATTTCCATGTGGGCGTATAAAAATGGCATTTGCATTGTACTAATTCTGTCTATTGCAAGTCTTAATTAGACACTTAATCACATGACAAGCCTATACTGCCGATTAATCTATCTAGCCCATCTGGTGGCTGAGATTTAAATGGATTAGAACACACTACACAGGTAATGCATCTTTAAAAATGACAATTTTGAATAAAGAATGGTATATTATCAAATATTGATATAAATTATTGTGATATGAGTTGAATAATGGTGGATTTGGATAGACTTGAGTGCTACCCGTTGTAGGTTATGATGTATGTTTCAAATGTTTTGTTTGCACAAATATTGTACGGCTGAAGTGAAGTGGCAATCGATCTGCATTTGACCTTTAATTTCCATACTGTTGTTAAAGTTTTACTCACTTGCATTGATTGACAAATTGAAAATATGAAATCTGGGACTTTTACGTCAATTAGTTATTAATTAACAAAATTATAAATACACATTTAATATTACTAATATTGAATAACCACAGAGTATTTGTACTCTGTGGAATAACGTTTTTTCAAGTGTGAAGTTCAAGTTGAAGTTCTGATTTTCAACACACTACTGATGTGCACCATGATAATACGGTATTATCTATGTGTGCACCCACAGTTATAAAAAAACACAACCATGTAGACATTTCTTAAATACAAAATGTACCTCAAGCAATATGATATTTAAAATTTGACAGTCAAATTATCCAGATTGTCTCTGACAAATGTATGTAGTTCATTTTTCAGTGTAGTCGACAAATCCCAACCGCGTTTCACTGGAGGGTGCCATTAACGTTTCGTCAAGGTCATATTTTGACCCTAAAGACAATTGGTAGATATAAATAAAACAACCAATGGAATACTAGCAAATGGTAAGTAGATATATCCCAGCGCACTCGGCAAACCTCGGCAGATTCTATAACTCTACATCTAGGTACTGGAATCGTCCGAGGTTTGCCGAGTGATCCGAGCGGTCTTTTTGTTTGGTCCGAGTGGTCATGGATTCAGTCCCAGTTTTGGGGATCTTTTCTGCCGTCCCGTTTCGGTAAATCAGCTGATTCGGACCAAGGTTGAATCGGACCTGGCTGATTTGGATGATCACGTCCTTGGCTGATTTGGACCATGGCCAGGCATATTCGGACCATTATTTGATTGACAATAGTAGGCCTACTTATGTTTGCATATATTTATTATTATGACAAAAATGACAATAAGTAGTGTAGCACTAATTAATAATTCATTAATTGATTACTTCATAATAATGAGTTAAATCGCGGAAAAGGTGCTTACAGATGTTCCCGCGATAGTTTGTTGTTTCTTGAAATTTACACTACTAGGCCATAGACCTATACATTACATAACATAAAAGTAGGATACAAAAATAAGTTCATGCGGTAATAAAGTGTTTTTGCAAGTAAAATATGTGTTTTATTAATATGTACATACAAAAATATCAAAATGGTAAAAAGAAAATTATTTCTATAATAAAGGAATTTAAATTAACTGCCAAACATTCTGGGCAGAAATGCGCTACCTGGCCAGGTAACGAGACACTTGGCGGTTAATTTTAATAGCTTTACAAACCAATATTTTATTTTAAAAGTACACATTTAAAAATGTTTCATACAAAGATGTAAAAATTAAAAAAAACAAGATAACAAAACAATTATTTACAAGCTGTAGTACGATTTAATTTTTAGTTGGACCATATATATGTGCAATTTTGTTCAGAGAGATGACTAGTCGTTATGGTTTTGATAATATTTTCCCCATAATTCCATTATTTTACCCGCAAAATACAAGAACCTATAAGTCATGCCATTAATTTTTAATTAATGAGTAGCCTACTAATCCAATAAACAATTTTTGTGTGAGTGGACGTTAAACCCCACTTTTCTCTCTCTCCATTAAACAATCAGATCCAATGACACAATTCCCTATTGGTGGCTGTCAGTGAGATCTAAGTCATTTTCATTTAGTAATATAACATTTTCCCTATTGGTGGCTGTCAGTGAGATCTAAGTAATTTTCATTTAGTAATATAGTACATTTTCCACGATGCTACCGGTTTACATAATGTGTTAAATTTGGGTCTATAAATCTATTTTATGTTTATTTTCTGAACAAGGTAAGCTAAATGTTTTGATTGCTTTTCTATACATCATTTATTCGCAATAACATAGATTTCCTCAGAACCAGGACATACAAAATTATTTTGTCAACTAACATCTATTATAGTGGTAAGTAAAATCAGGCGAAAAGAAATGAAATGAAATATAAACATTGATAAAACCCGAATCAGCCTTAACTGTGGTTCGAATGAGCCTAGAATGTGGTCCAAATCAGCTTTGACTTTTGGTACGAATCAGCCATGATACGAATCAGCTTGGTTTCGCCGCCCCGATGCCTCTCACGCACCTAAATGTCCTGGTTTTCTTTTGTGTTTTTCAATTGAAAATAATAACACAAAACACATAAACTATTAATGTAGCGTATACTTCATTTGCGACAAACACTCGTGCTTCGTCATCTAAGTCTAGTTCAGTGCATAAAACATGTAAAGGCCGAAAACAGGAATTGCAATGCGCTTGTCTATAGAAATTGACATGATCTTGGATATAAGTTTATTGGTTAACGACGTAGAGGTTTAAAGACTGATTGTAATATTAGTCTAATATTAGACTGATTGTAGTGCTTAGCCAATCAAAATTGAAGTATCTACTAAAATTTGGATTTTATCTTTAGTTAAAATTTCGTGAAACAGGACCCTGGTGCATAGCGGATTTTAATTATTTCAAATTTATGTTTACATGTAAATATTCTTATGGGTTATGTGTACATATATATACATGTATATATAGTTTCCTTTTTATCAATTCCTTTTTTGTTTTTCAATCTATTGTACGGAAGCGTATAGGGGTCATGCAAAATTTTGTAGAAGGTCTCGAGATCCTACGATCCTTTCTCGAAATCCCGTGATCACCTGGTAATTTTCTCGAGATCTCAATTTAATGTTCTCGAAATCTCCTGATAATTTTCCTGGGATACTGACATACTGTGTAAATGTTCTCGAGAATTCGAGTTAATGTTCTCGAGATATTGACATCCTGTGTAAATCTTCTCGAGATCTCGAGTTAATATGGAACGTTATGTCATAGTGTCTCCACGTTGTGAAGCAACTATTGGCACAATACTTAGCGCCAACTTTGATAAAAAAAAAAATACTCTAGTATTTGTTACAAAGAAAAACTGCTAACTAATGAAAGAATAAACGGACAATCGATAGGGTTCATCCATTCTCTTATGGTCCTAATGTTTTACAATAAATTTTAAAAATGATTAAAATCGATACAGACTTGCTTGTTAAATTATTTCAATTTAAAGTGCGGACGCCGTTTTATTGAAAATGTCATAATTTGCATGGTTTTCTGGCCATATTTCTTTTAGAATAAAGCTAGAAACATGGTTTATTGTCTTGTGGCCCAAAAGCTTCGTGGTGGATTTTAAAACAAAAATCTTGAAAAACTCTAGCGTTCACAAGACGGAAAAATATGAATAACGCCATAACGAAAAGTCCCCCGAGTGCTGCAAATCAATAAGGATCATTCTCTAGTTGCAAGAGTCCCTCCGAAAATCTAGATTCTTTCCGTTCACAAGGATAAATCCTATGGAGCACCGAAAATAAACAGGGTCCCTCTACTCATGATATCAATGCTTCAAAAAAAATTGAAAAGATAGCCACGCAATGTGTGGAAAGACGCTCACGCAGCTATGCCCCAACAGCAGATTATCGAAAGGAAAACTTGGACGTTGAATAAATTGAATAAGGATCTAGGATCCTTCAAGAAATCTAATCTTTATCTGTTCACGTTTTTTATGAAGATGCATTGTGAGTGGCGTACGTAGCGCGTAGGGCCAATAATTGCAAACAAAAAAAAATGTTGAGAAAATACGGCGTCGGCAAAATGAATGATCACAGACCATTTCTTGTCTGTCTAGCTCAGGTAGTGTGAGGTAATTCAAAGTGGGGAGTATATCGCAAGTTATTATACGAATCAAGAATTGTGTAATATGGTTTAGATAGGAGAGACTAAAGGTGATATGAGAGCGCTTCTTCCGAAAGTTTTGCTGAAATTGTACATTTTGCTTTTTAATTATTTGATGTGAGCTGGGTGAGTATTATGAAACGTAAACGTGGAGAAATTAAAAGCTTTATTCTTTACAAGTTTCTGACAAACTGGGAAAAAATCTGATGTTTTATGGGGAGTAGTTAGAATATGAAAGGAGTTCTTTCTGGGAAATTTGGGGCCCTTAAAAGGGCCGAGATGTTGTGTGCTTTAATCCGTGTCCGTTAATCTATTTCCTTGCCTTTCGTCTCCTTCGACGTTTTCCACCCTTTCGGGCTTTTCGTCGCCGCCTGGGAGATCGGGATCGTCTCCTTCTCCTTCGACGTCCAGCCTTGGATCTGGTTCGTCGTCGTCGACGCCTAGAAACGGATCTTCGTCGACGAGATCTACTTCTTCGTCGGCGAGATCTACTTCTTCGTCGTTTGGATCGACTTCTTCGTCGGCGGGTTCGGCTTCTTCGTCGTCGAGACTTTGATCTTCGTCGTCGGGATCGGCTTCTTCGCCTTCGTCCCTTACGCGACTTGGATCGACGACCTCGTCGTCGTCGTCGTCGTCGGGATCGACTTCTTCTTCGCTTTCGTCCCTTAGACTTGGATCGCCTTCGTCGTCGCCTCCTAGACTTGCTTCGACTTCGTCGTCGCCTTCGTCGCCTTCGGGACTTAGAGCGTCTTCGCATTCCGAGCCTGAATCGGCCCTTTGCTCCCTTTGCTCTTGATCCCTTCGGTCGGACGAGTGCACCAGACCTTAAACCCTTTGACAGGGCCCGTCGTAGTAGACCATTGACACGCTTAGCGGAAACTTTAGAATTAGCTAAAACATATTTCCTGATACTAGGAACAGTTGAGCCTTTTCTATCCCTCAAAGCTCGTACAGCGGCTACGGCGACAGTCAAAGTGGTGCGTCGTCTCCTACCAACAGATCTTCTTCGGCGACGTTTGGGAGAAGCCCTCCTCCTTGGGCTTCTCGCCTTTTTCGGTGATCGAGATCGAGACCTCGACCTCGATCGAGATCTTGATTTTGACTTCCTCCTTGGGCTTACCATGGTGAAGCAGTTATAAGCGATTCACCACGTGTTATTGTTTATATTTATCAAGCGCGGACGTGATGGAAAGCATGACGTCTCCTGGATACGTTGTTCAGCGCGTGCTAGAATTCAAAATTGCAATATCGCCAATGTGCGTTCTCATTTTTGAATCGGTTTATTTATGCGAAGTTTATTAGTGAATTTGGTGGTATATATTATTTAGTCATGTGTAGGAACATACTTAATAACCAGGGGTATATTTTTCCTTCTATTTTCGATGTCCGGTTAAAACTATTAACGTTATTAATGAATAGGGTAGCCTAGGTCTATTCTGTTTGATCGCAGTCAAACGTGCTGTCGTTTTTGGTCGTTGCTTGGTTATATTTTTGGTTGTTGGAGACAAATTTCATGATACCAGTTTTATTCATGATATTGAAAATTAAAGGACCAAGTGTGTGTTTTACAGATTGTGGGCCTTCAAAAATATTCACAAAACAAAGCTTTATCAAAATCACCAAGAAAATGGCGGACAATTTTTACGGCTAGGACTAGCCTAGTCATACAGTTGTAGGCCTAGTCATCCATAGCCTATCTCCAAAAAGCTGTCGGACTCAGAAGAGAGTATTTACAACTTTTCTTGGGTGTAACTGAAAACTAAATGAAATGGGGGGGGGGGATACCCTACAAAACTACAGAAAAGTTAGAGTTCATAATAAAACTGGACCTGACCCCAAAACCTTTCCATTCTTCGAGATCGATGAATTATTAGGCCTAAAGTAGATGACTAGGCCTAGCCTATAGGCCTAGTATTTGGGAGATAAGCCTAATAAATAGTAGGCTAAGCTATACAGCCTCGTGTTATCAGTGCATCAGAATTAACAGTGGAAAACACAAGCCTGTCTGAAGAAACCGACGACGACATACAAATCATCACTAAAGATGAGGAAGTCAAGAATCTGATTCTCTCATTTCGAGAAAAAGAACAAATTCTAAACCGGATCGAGTGGATCGACAAGCAAAAATGCTAAAATTATTGGATGGAAGACGCTGAAGCTGCTAGAGTAGAAAGGCAGATAATGTTCGGCTTAGAAGAAATTAGGAAACAGAATGTCATCTTTTTTAAAGAACAGAAAAAAACCCCAAAGATAGACATTATATTTTAAAACAAATAGACTCTAGATCTACTCGAAAAATGTTAATATGCAACTCAATGCAGTACGAATAGTGGATATATCTCCCAAAAAATAAATGAATTGTGTTCATTATTTCCATTATCGTACCTTAATTTATTGTTATTTTATATCTTAAGAATTCTTCTCAAGGGACGACTTTAAAACATTTTTTATGTTCACATCTTGAATTATTATCTTTCCATTATCGTAATACCTGAGTATTTGTTATTTTATATCTTAAGAATTCTTCTCAAGGCGACAAGGGAAGACTTTAAAACATTTTTTATGTTCACATCGTGAATTATGTATATCTTTCCATATCTGAACTAGCGAGTGTTAGTTATTTTGTAATTATTTAAATTTGAATAAGTTAAATTTTTCTAGTATTTGTTTTAGTATTAATTAACTTAGCTGAGATGCTGTGAAACTTTTCAACAGCCCAGGTGACTTATTGTTTTCCTATCTTGTATTCTAGAGTGTGGCATGAAATGAAATTAAATGAATAAATAAATGCAAAATAGACACTTAAAAGTATGAATTTGACAACGTGTATGCAGGTCTCGGTGTGTCATCCCATCCAACCGACAAAACACTGTTCCATGTCAAGCCCTCCGTGCTACACCAAGGGAAACCACGCTGGGAAATCCAGTTAAACTTAAAGATGCATTATGTAAGAGCTAAACCTGCCTACAGGTTTTTAAACTGTGATAACGTCGCTCAGAATAAAGTAATTTGAATGAAGTTTTCAATATATTAATTTTCAATTATCTATTTTTGAACTATTATAGCAAGAACGGTCAGATTTTTATCTAAGTTTTACATAGCGCATCTTTAATTAGCGTGTCTTTTGTTGACGACAGATGTTACATTGACGTGGGAACCGTTATTATATCACCCTCTTCCACTTCGTGTCTCCCATCTTGAAGCAGATCATCAAGATCCTATCATGTCTGGGGGTTGGATGGCTAGTGAATGGTTAGCACGTGCGCGCTGTATCATAGTCTGTCATTGAGTCAACTGGCGTGGTTGACAAGGTCCAACCTCCGGTTTCCTCCCACTGCTAAAGACCCCTATACGCGCAAGCGAACTATGGAAATAAAATTGAACCATATGTTAGTCCCGAAATGACCTAGTTTGTGTCGTGTGGACGTTAAACCCCATTTCTCCCCCCCCCCATCCTGTCTCTAAACACATGTTGTGTATTAAAAAACCGCTTGTTATACATGTATCTATATACTTAAGTTTTCTAAAACAGCCTTTAAGAATCCCAAAAGCATTTTTAATAGCTACTCTTGTAACGCTATGTTTGTAATTATGCTCCTTCGCTGATCTAGTAATTTCCATAATCCTTGTAGGGGACCATCAAATAATCATTTAATTCATATGCAGAATCCCCACCGATGTGTGTAGTGTTAGGGAATATGACATTCCTCTGTGCTGGATCTTCCGCGGCTTCACAAACTGAGGAATTTTTAAAGACACGGAAGGCATGTGTAGATCCAGGCCAATCTACCAATACATATTTGTATTTGTGGTCACAGACGGCACATTAATTGGGTGTTTGTGGGGGGTTTTATTGGGGTTTTTTTTTGGGGGGGGGGGCGTCGTTTAATGTAGGTCTCTGGACTGTCGACGGGAGTTTTGATTGAAATATGGGTCCCATCAACTGCACCAAGCACATTAGGGAATCTGTTTTTTTCTTGAAAACCATCGTCTTTATCTTAATGCGATGACCAAGTTTCTCCATCAGATATTGCTCAAGAATAACAACAGCCAGAAAGCCTGAAACTATAAACAGATTGTGCCATACAGCCTCTATCTCATTAACTGATTGGAAATATATTTTTGACTCGAAAACATTAAATTCTTTAAAACCAAATGGGGAGCCGTAATGGTTCAGTGTATAAGGCACAGGCTCGCTAGCCTGGAGGACCCGGGTTCCATCCAGTATAGTTTGGGAGCAGAACAGTAGGACGTTAAAACCCACTTCATTTCATTTCATTTGTACTGTGATTTGCCTACGTGGCTCTTGTCAATTATGCTGGACGGGGGGCAAGGACAGTGTCTAGTCGTTGGGTGTGACGAAAAACCGATTTATACTTTTTAATGTCTATTTTGGATTTATATCATAAAATGGAAAAATCGGAACAGTCCCTGAGGAAGATTTAAAGAATTTAAAAAGAAATTTTTTTGAACAAAACACAATTCGCGTTAAACTTTACGGTACGCGTAACCGGCGATTGGGGTCTGTCCGAGTGGCACTTTATTTTAGATCTGCATTCTCATTTTTGCATACTGTTTTACATAAAATTTTGTTTCATGTGTTGTCGGGGTGGGTGATAGTAAACTCAATGACCGTCGTTGGCGCCCAAAATCCTAGCAAGGTTCTCAGTAACAGAAGAGATTGGTTTACCGACAACGTTGAAAACAGTGGCTTCATATAGCCTACTCCGAAAAGGTCTGCAGCTCGAATTAGAATTTCAAAAGATGAACGGAATATTCGGAAACGGGCTTGGAACTCGTCAAGTCCGTAACTCGGTTGGCCTGCAGTCACCGAGCAGCAGGTTTTTACACTGGGGACCTCTATTTGTTTTATGTTTTCATTTAATAATAAATTTGTTAAATATGACTGTACGGCTTTGTGGTCAATCTGTTTTACAGACCTAATGCGACATCCGTCTTTTATCTCTGTCCAAGATGACTGACCTTTAAAAGGTCAGATCGCTGTAGTTCTAAGGGTGACGTCACACCACAATGTTTACCAACAAAGCAAGATGGCATTGATAACGCCAAAAAAGATTACTTCTGTGGCTTGTTTTTGTTGTTTTAAAACAAACACGAGCAGGTCAATCAGATTAGACGGTAAAAAATGTACTTCTGAAAGAATTCAGAGTAAACAAACAAAAAAACGTCAAATTGATGGTCACACGTGCGTTGTTTACATCGAACGTAGTAATATGAACTGGTACGGGCAGAATTATATCGTTTTACCCATTTTACGCCTCCGCGTACTATTTTCTGTACCTATTTACGCTAATTATGGAATATTTTTTTATCAAGATATACTTCAAACACCTTTATTTATTTTTCTAGTACTAAAAAAAAATGTTTCAGAATTTAATTTGTCGAAAGAAAAAAGTTAATATTTTGTAGTCATTAAGTCGCATCGATGTCATCCTTATCAGTGATTGTAGCGGCCAAGCGAATATTCACTGCGGATCAGTGTGCTTTGTGGTATCTAGCTACGAGAACGTAGCTAAAAACGTTGAGATATACTGATGTGTTTGTTTTTAGCTACGATTGGCAGCCTTCAGTTTGACGTGGCAAACTCATTTAGTACACGCCCTTTTTACCATATCCTGAGGTCTGCAATTTATTATCAGGTCCAAAATTGCCTTTTTGATTGGCTGTTATAAAAGCCTAATTTAGCCCCGCCTTCAAAATGACATATTATACGGTCAATATGCTGTTTAAAAAGATGGCGGTCTTAGTAACGGCTTAACGCCTCGATTTTAAATACGACAATTTGTATCCGTTTCAGGTAGGATTATATGCTTAATTGTAGTTGGGTGTTGTAGAAATATTATAAATAACAATAATCAATCGTTGTTTTGGTTAAAACTATTGTCAATTTTGTTTAAAAATGCCGGGTGTGAATCGGTCCCGGAGCTGCAACGTTATAGGTCATGGCCTCAGTTCTTAACTCGAAACACGGAGGGTTGAGAGATTAAGGTTTGTTATCTATGTGGTATCCTACGTTGTTGTGGCTGACGACGATTATTTGGGGGTGTCCTCCAGAACAGAATATAGAAAAATAAATATTTTTAACATTTTTTCTTAATTTATTAAGCCATCTTACGAGGCAAATCATCGCGTTTAGTTGGGTGTTGTAGAAATATTATAAATAACAATAATCAATCGTTGTTTTGGTTAAAACTATTGTCAATTTTGTTTAAAAATGCCGGGTGTGAATCGGTCCCGGAGCTGCAACGTTATAGGTCATGGCCTCAGTTCTTAACTCGAAACACGGAGGGTTGAGAGATTAAGGTTTGTTATCTATGTGGTATCCTACGTTGTTGTGGCTGACGACGATTATTTGGGGGTGTCCTCCAGAACAGAATATAGAAAAATAAATATTTTTAACATTTTTTCTTAATTTATTAAGCCATCTTACGAGGCAAATCATCGCGTTTACGAGAACCGATTCGAATACCAACTCGAGGCCTACGTCATGTACAAACCGAAATAGTTAATCGAAACCGATTTGTTTTCTCGTAAAATGGGGCTTAGATTTGAATCTTCGAGTTAAATCATGAATTTAATGTAAATTTATGTTTTGTCATGCTCACGAATAGACAGACGTTTTCCTGATTAGTTTCGGGTCACCCATTATTTTAACCCGTGGTCTTCTTGTTCGATTAATTTAATGAAATCCGCCCATGGACTATAATCGAGTTATTATAGTTAATAAGTTATACAACTCTTCTATCATCCTAATTCAACGCGATTTATTCAACCACGCTCTAGGCCTAGCTCACCAGAATTTATAATTAATTTTATTGGGTAGATAAATATATTACTTTTAAAACAGAGGTTATAAAATACAACTCAATTCATGAATTTTAGTTATTTGAAGGTATTTACAAGAACGTATTGTTCACCGAAAAGGGAGGTAACTGCGTTAGGTGTGGGCGTGGCCAGCATTCTGAAATATTTGGAAAACCCCAGGTACGTCACAGAGATTATCCCGCGAAATGTACACGGCCATTGTTACGTTTGAGTTGAAGTAAAAAAGCGGTTTTGATTAATATTGTCAACAAAATGAGTCTATGGGTTGATAAACATCGACCATCTCTGCTACATAAACTAGATTATCACAAACAACAAGCTGCCAATCTCAAGAAACTGGTAATTACTGTCGGATCCATTTACTTGTTTAACCAGATATATTTCCGTTTGACTTATTTCTAAGTTTCCCTCATTATTTATAGCACACTGTGTATATGCACGTCTTCATTAGGCTAATCGGAGCAGATCATTAGGACGTTAAAGCCCATTTCATTTCAATAAATTTACTACACGACGAGCTTGATCTACTGCAAAAATGAGCACTTTCATATGGGTTTGGCAACCCCCCCCCCCCCCCCCCCAGACTGGGCCAGCGTCCTTACTGCGCCGGCGTCCTTACTGCGATCGTACGGCGAACAGAAAATGCACAAGGTCGCCAGCAAACGTGAACACAATGCGAGAAAATGCCCCCAAAAATTACAAACTTGAATAAGTCGCCTTCTCACAGCTTTCCAGGTCAGATCGCAGAACCTTGGCATTTGTTTTGAACATGCTCAATACAATTGCCGTGACTCATTATCTGCGCTCTACTGAGACCATTTCCTGTCGCTGCAGCAGTGCAGTGAGGACGCCACTCCGGTCTGGCGGGGTATTAGGAAACGTCGTTATAAAAGATACATTCCCGGGTACAAACTGGGTGAATTGATGATATATTTGGACTAAAAACATATTCAGACTAATTAATTTATCATAATTTTGCTTCAAATCCTTCTCAAAACATTGCTATTTTCGGGAATACCCTGGCTATAAAAAAATTGATCAAAAGAAGTCAAGTGTACCGAGACGAAGTAGGAGGTGAATTCATTGCGTACACAATAAGATGTTGTCTTTAATCGCTGACTATTTATTACAAATATCAAAGCCAAATTAAATTCTCGGATTATCCACCGCCCACATCTCTTTCCGTGAATTTAATCTCAGAAAGGTTTGTACGTCTAATTCTTTATAAAGTTTATCAACATGTACATCAAAAGCTCAATCTCTGCGTGCCACCTTCGACGTCACACGTGCAGACACTCCTAATCGTCGGGCTGTCGATTAGGGATACCCTTACATTTTTGTCCTGTATGCACTCTATGAATGTTTTTCAGGGAATCCAGTATTTTTCTAGTAAGATTGGATATTTCTACTTTCCATATATACCAAAATTGCCATACTTTTATTGGAAATAACCAACCGATAAATACTTTCTGTGAACGTAGCTTTAAATAAGAGTGAAGTAGTAATGTATACCTAACCTTGTGTTGTGTTTTGTTATGAACACTTTCAGAGTTTTTGTCTATATTTGAGTTATTTATGGTCGCTATATATAGCCACAAAGTTATCTGATTACCTTGAAATTTACGCCTGGAGGTCGGGTGTTCGATCCCTGCATTGCCCGAGAAAGTTCATTCAGATTTTTCAGCGTGGTTTCCGCCTTACAAGGAAAGCTGTCTAGTTGTTCGGATGGGACGAAAAACAGAGGTCCTGTGGACACATTGGCGTGCACGTAAAATATCCCTTGACAGTTGGAATTCGATATAAGAGTAGGTCGTAGTGCCGCTGTCCGGTCAAAATTTCCCTCATAGCACACTGTATGGCGTATGCCCGTCTTCATTAGCCCAGTTCGGAGCAAAACAGTAGGACGTTTAACTTCATTTCATTTCATTTCTTTGATTCTTATCTAACTCTCGTGGGTTATGTGCCTTGAATTGAAATCTAGAGAAATCTTACGTCATACTCATTTACATTGTCACATTGTGTTTATGTTGGGACTAGAAATTGTAACTATAACCATTGATTGGTTCATGGGCTGTTCCCCTGATCAGTGACTGCAGTGGTCGGCTGGTACGTAGGGCATGGGCATATTGACTAGAGTAGAATGTCCCCGGATTTGTATTTTCAAGCCTGGTTTCTCAGCAATTTGTCAATGGTCACAATGGTGTCACATGACAAGGACACTTAGATAAGAAACCTCCTCTGTGACCTAGTTTAGCTCTGAACGTAGGTCTCATTACACAGGACGAGTGTAATGATACCTACATTCAGAGCTGAACTACTCTCGACCTAGTGTCTCAAGATAAGAGATGGTACTATATAGTTCTTTCTGGCAAAGTATGATGCGGATCAGATAGTATACTATTCAAAAAAAGTAGGGGATATTTGATTTTTAAGTGTTATTAAAGTCACCTAATGAAACTGACGAAGAAACAAATGACAAAATGAAATGAAGTTCACATTCATCGATTTATTCCAAATGATCGTTAGACTAAGTAAGGCACAGACTGACCATTATAAGGGTAAAATGATACCCGGGGTCAAACAGCAAAGTTACCACAGCATCACAACCAAGTCAGTAACGGGTAAATCCTCCTCTGTTTGCCAAACAAGCATTGATCCGACGTGGCATACTCCTAATGAGACGTCTACGGTCATTTTGGTCCAGATTGTCCCATTCCTGTTGCAACGCAGCAGCAAGTTCTTGGACATTGGCAGGACGTTGTTGACGTTGACGTAACCTCTGTCCGAGCATGTCTGGGGGAGAGGTCGGGACTCAGTGCTGGCCAAGGTAATGTGGTGATGTTCTGTTGTTGGAGGTAACCTGTAACGATCCTGGCCCTGTGACATCTTGCGTTGTCATCCTGGAAGATGAAACGGCGGCCATGATGTCGTGCGAACAGCACAACATGGACTGCCAAGATGTTGTCCCGGTAGTACTGGCCTGTAACACGCCCTGCAACAACATGTAAAGCCGTTCTTCCAGCAACAGTGATGCCTCCCCACACCATAACAGAACCACCCCCAAATCGATCATGTCTGATGACGTTAACGTCTTGGAAGCGCTCGTTTCGACGACGCCACACCCTCCTACGTCTGTCCAAAAAATCAACAGTGAACCTTGACTCATCTGAAAACATCACATTGCTCCAGCGTCGATTATCCCAGTGTTGACGATCCCTACACCAACGAAGTCTTGCCTGAATGTGATGATCTCTCAAACAAGGGATCACGCGAGGACGTCAGGCGCGAAGGTGACCCCTATGCAGTCGATTCCGAATCGTCTGGCCACTCACTCTCACACCAGTGTCTGTTTGAAGACGAGCGCTGATCTGATTTGCTGTGATGACACGATTTCTCAAGGCCAAGGTACGGATAAATCGATCCTGGGCTTGAGTTGTTGCCCTTGGTCGACCTGAGCGTGGTCTGTCCTGTACAGATTGTGTATCACGGTATCTGGACCATAGCCTGCTTATGACAGACTGAGAAACATTCATCGTCCGCGCCACAACCGCCTGTGTTGTGCCGATCTGTAGCATGCCAAGGGCACGTAACCTTTCATTTTGGGTAAGCCGACGCATATCAAAATTTGTTTTCTGGTCACTAAAACAATTAAACTGATGTTTCCACCCTGGAATTCAATGCCACAATGACTGTAACATTCAAAGTCAGAGTCATGCAAATCTTGGGTTGGACCCCCATGATGATCCCAAGCATCACCTGCATTCCATGCGGTAGCTATTGGTGCGTTTGGGCGTCACATGTAACTGGAAATGTTTCTTCTGTTAGGTTTTATAGTGACTTTTTTCGTAGTCATTTGCATATTTTAGTATTATGCCCCCAAAATCAAATATCCCCTACTTTTTTTGAATAGTATACTTAAATAAGCAAAACTGTCAATTTTTTCTCCAAACAACGATTGATTAATGTTATTCATTAAATTTCTGCCATGTCCAACAACAATTATGAATACTCCTACCTGACACGGTTTGAATCGAAGCGATAATAACTGGCTTTTCCCGACATTTTAAAACGGAATAGGTTTGTTGTCTTTACGTCATGAAGGCGGGGTTAAATATATTTCGCACACAACAGTCAATTAAAATACGCATGAACAACAGAACACTTAGGAGTCGCACATGATTAAATTAATGCACCTTAAAGTAGCTAAGTTTCTAACTCCATATCATCCAAAATCTTCGACATTGAAAACACGAATTATTTGTCAATTTAAATCAACATTGATGTTGTGATTTTACAGGGAAAAGATGGGTTTCTGATATCCAATATTCAAGACAAAATAAACATTTCACCATTGGTACACGAATCGTGTACCATTATGTGTTTCAGCGCCATTTGGAACAAGGGACTCAAAGAACAGGGCTAGACATATTCCACAAGTCATGTCAACAAACGGTGACGTCATATTCTTATCTGGAGAGCATGCACAATAAATACTATCGGTATAGAGTGGAATAACCAGACGCTAGAGATTGCCTTTAGATTGAGACTTCTGGCGTATTTCGCCAAACATAACTGATTAGAAATTGCGGTAAAAACAGAATCGATTGAATGTAAATCAGTTTAGGTATATACATTCACATTACATTATTATATGCGTTGCGACCCATTTTTGTCAATTTCTAGATCCAAAATATTAGCGATTTAGCTCCTTTAATTATGAATGTCCATATCAATTATGATAAAAGCACCACTTGATTAACTTTACTGACAATATTTACAGATAAACAAATGTTGTTTCACTACATTGGGCTGGGTATGTTTAAGTAGTCCTATTAGTATAGAATTAACCTATTTTTAAGATTTTGCATAAAGAAATTAAGTTTTCCAGGTGAAACTAAAGGCATCCAATAGTAGCTAAAAACAATCACATCACAGTATATCTCAACGTTTTTAGCTACGTCCTAGTAGCTAAAGGACACTGGGCATTGCATAGGCTTTCGGATAGGATTTAAAAAAAACGAGGTCCACTCCACTCACATGCACTGGAATTTGAAGAAGAGTAAGCAAAAATATGCTGTCAGTAGTGTCAGGGCAAATTATCCCTGCCCCCTTTGCAGTGTTCACCTAAAAATTGACGTTAACGGTACTGGTACCTTTTTCCAGGATTGCATGATTGATAGAAATTTCAAACAATTAGACTTTTTTTTTTTACTTTCTAGGTCCAAAGTGGGGATCTGCCTCATCTGTTAGTGTATGGTCCATCTGGTGCCGGCAAGAAGACCAGAATAACGTGTTTACTACGAGAACTTTATGGAGCCGGTGCCGAGAAATTACGTATAGAACAAAGTCAGTTTACAACCCCTTCAAATAAAAAGATTGACATCTCAACTATAGCTAGTAATTATCACATTGAAGTTAATCCAAGGTATTCTAGTTTCATGCTTGTTTTTAATGAAATGAAACAGGTGTCCTGTGATCTGCACCAACTGAGCTAATGAAACGCCATACAGTGGTGGTATGAGGGAAATTTTGCCCGTATAGCAGCGCTATAGTCTGCTTTTATATCAAATTTCAATTACTAAAGGTTCTTTTACATGTACACCAATGTGTATATGGGACCTCAGCTTTTTGTTTCATCCAAACGACTATACTTTGTTCCTTGCCGACAGGGCTGCCGACAACCAGTATCGCAGCGCAATTTGCGATACATATTTTGTCCGTTGCTAATCAAAAATTAAAATCTAACGTTTTTGATTCGCAGTAACTGCGAATCATTAATATGCCTGTCATTTTGGATATTGACACAAAGATTTATCCACATTTCTCAACACTTTCAACGTGTATAAAATATCAAATAAATTTTATAAACAAAACGGAATTCTCCGTGTGACATTTTCTTCTCGAACTATCCAGACTCAATTCATGATACTATATAATACAGGGACATAACTCTATGAATCGGGACTATTAAACCGGAAATAGGGAATCCAGAGTACCACTCACGTTGCGAGACATGTCAATTTCGAGTAATTATATCAGTATTCAATTTGAAAAAAAATAAATTCAGTATATCCCCCACGTATTGTAAATAAAATATAAAAAATAAATACGTGTAAACGTATTGTAAAGTGAGAAATCAAAGTAAGAATTCCCGTAAACTATTATTGTTTATATCGTGTGCGTCTAGTTAATCGAGATTATTCGTAAAATACCGCGTGCTTCCGATTGAACAAAAATAATAACACACGATAAAAAGCAGACGAAATTGTTTTCTAACGAAGAAATAAGAAGCCACTGCCAAGAATTGGCTTCAGACATAAGGCCTAACAAAAGTCTACATTCATTCAGAAATGTTCACAGCTAGCTGTAGAAGTGCTAAAATTCTAAAAAAAAATCTTAAGAATGAAATCTAATCATTTGCTATCAATTAAAATTAAAATAATCTTGTTATTTAGGTGTTTTATGTTGATTTGAAACTGAAAAACTGCTAATCAATTTTTAAATTTGCTAATCAAATTTGGCAAAATTGGACTTTTTGATTAGCAGTGCTGCTAATCATCTGTGAAAAATTACCGACAGCCCTGCTTGCCGAACCCTCTGTCCTGCACCACTGACAAGGAAGAAACATGCCGGAAAATCTTGATAAACTTTCATTGTCGACACAAGAATCGAACAAGGGATCCCACAGTTAGCGAGCCAACGTCTTACTCACTGAGCCAATGTGGCTCCTAATTTGAATATGGTGGTCCATGAAGGCTTACCTGTACATTCAGTAAATTTAATCTACAGAACTGACCGACAATGAACAGATTTACTTTATAATGAGACACTGCATCTGATGACTGCCGTGGAGTTGACATATTTACATGATTTGGCTTTTTCATAAACACAATTATTTTGAAAATTACAAATAAATTCTGTTTTTTAAACATGTCAGGTAGTATGACGCCTGCTTCTTTGGCTTTCTCTGGCTTTTCCATTGTAAACAAAACATTAATTTGGTTACCTGAAACGCAAATCGAAAACTTGTGTTTCATATAGGTTAGTCTTGAACCATCTATGAATAAAGGCTATTTTGTTGTACATGTATGTATTGCATGATTTATATCTGGAGGTATGATTTATTAACTATGATTTAGATATGTTTTCAATTATGGACCAAACTACCACATTGGGTAATTATTAAAATGTTCTTTTCTTAATGGTAGTTAGTTCATGTAAGCTAGTACCATATTTGATGTTATAATTCACACAGACCTGTAAGGCCATTTTATTTGAAACACTTTCACACATGTTGTAACATTTAAGGCTGGTTTATTTGACACACACACAGTATGTAAGGCTGTTTCATTTAGTAATTCTTCCATAAAAGGTTTTATATTTATGACATTATCATTTACCATATTGATGTATTTTGATTAATTTTTTTCAGTGATGTTGGTAATAATGATAGAATTGTTATACAAGAATTAATCAAAAACCTGGCACAAGTCAATCAACTTGATTCATCTTCACAAAAAGAATTTAAAGGTGGGCATGAATTCTTATCTCTTTTAAAGTATTAAAGACAGCAAACCAGAAATTTTTTGAAGTCATAAATATTTCGTTATTATTTAATTAAGCATGTCAGAGTGTAAAAATACAGTAATGAAGAACAATTATTATTACTATATTTGTCAAAGAGATACAAAGATGACAGCGTTTATATTTTTATAACCCTTGGCAGTTGGAATTCTGCCTTACATTGCAAAAGAAGCCAAAGAAATGTGTGATACTCTCAAAATAACCTAAGTGGTGCTGACAGGATATTAAACCCAAATCCATTTATATGGTCATTTATATTTTGAACAGTTATAGACCTTATTATTCTTTATGTATAGTTGTGGTACTAACAGAAGTTGATAGATTAACTAAAGATGCTCAGCATGCACTACGTAGAACTATGGAGAAATATATGGCTACATGTCGACTGATATTGTGTTGTAATTCTACAAGTAAAGTTATACCTGCTATCAGAAGTAGATGTCTTGGGGTTCGTGTTGCCGCACCATCTGAGGATGAGGTAAAACAATATACATGTACATATATCTTCAAGTCTTGAATGGGGGTTGGGTGGGCGGATGGTTTAACACGTCACCATATTGGATTTTACAAAAAAAATGTTCAAATCAATATTCAGCCGCCATTTTCATTCCGATTTTCGAAAACATTTTTTTTATTTTGAACCTACTCCAAATGGCAACAATTCATATGGAGCCGATTTTTTAATTTCGATTTTGTTAATTACTTCCGGTTTCACCTTGAATTTTTAACTTTTGACCTTCCATCTGGTGACATAGCCGTTCAGTGACCCTTGACCTTTGCATATATGATGACCCTGACGTCGACTGACAACTTATATCAAAAAGTTTGGTCTTGAAGTATAACTTCCCGTTTTATTAAAAATTTAAAATGATAGGTTTTCCACTTTAATGGGTATTGGATGTTACTATACTCAATAGTTCATGGTGGAACTTTATTGTTGACATATCAAGGTGTGACCTGACTTGAACCCACGTACCGAAACACGTCAGTACTGCTTTTTTTTACGCAGTTCTAGTTTTTATAGATATTTAAATATCGCCGCACAGCAACAGTATAAAAACAGACTTAGGTAACATCTTTTGATCCAGCAGCTACACAGATTTACCAACTTATCCAGCCTCTGCTTCTGTTATAAGGGAGTATTGCAGTCCCCCCTCTCGTTTCCAATGTTATTTATTTCACTTCACGATATTTACAGATCTGCCAGATTCTTCAGAATGTTTGTAAGAAGGAGGGATGTAATTTACCAATAGAATTGGCCAAAAGAATCGCTGTCAAGAGTAATCGTAATTTAAGACGAGCTATTTTAATGTGCGAGGCCTGTAAAGTCCAACAGTAAGATATTACAATTTAATTATGTAAGGCCTGCAAAGTGTGCAGTCCTTAAAATTCCTAGAGTAGACATGAAGGCTTGTCTTTTCTGCTTAACAAAATTTTTCACTGTGTGGATGTTGTGTATTCTGGGGGTTTATTCACAAAAATTTAAACATACATTATGTAAGAGCTAATTCTGCCTATTGCCAGTCTTTTTTGTTGGCTTCAAATGTTATTTAAATGATTAGACATTTATTTACATAACAAGTCTATAATCTAGAACATCAGATGGATCTCTTGACCAATGACAGGACTAGATTTTTAATTTAATATATTTTAGTTGTATAAGATCCCTAAGACTTTCAATTGTTTATCACCTATTGTATGATGTTATTTCAGATATCAGTTCAACTCTGATTGTTTATCACCTATTGTATGATGTTATTTCAGATATCCGTTCAACTCTGATTGTTTATCACCTATTGTATGATGTTATTTCAGATATCCGTTCAACTCTGATTGTTTATCACCTATTGTATGATGTTATTTCAGATATCCATTCAGCGCTGATCAGAATATAAGTGAACCTGATTGGGAGATTTATTTACGAGAAACAGCCAATATGATTGTACAACAGCAATCACCTAAAAGGTAAGAGGACACACAGCATCTTGAATTATGTTGAAATAGGGCATCAATTTGATTCAGAACTCTGATTTATCAGTCTGGTTGAAAAGCCTACCTTTTGGTCTATTTACTTATTAACATTGCCTTAATCGGTGGATATAAAATTTTGAAAATAACACCTATGAGGGAAATTTTGCCCGGACAGCGGCACTATGACCTACTCTTATATCGAATTCCAACTGTCAAGAGATCTTTTACGTGCATGCCCATGTGTACACGGGACCTCGGTTTTTCATCCCATCCGAACGACTAGACGGCTGTTTTTGTCAGGCCCTCCGTCCTGCATCACTGACAATAGGGAACTTTCTCAGCAAATGCAGGGATCGAATCCCTGCTATTAGAAGCTGATCTAGCATCTGATACGTCTTTATCTATTGTTAGAGAGTACAGAAATTGAAAATGCAATATTGTCTTACTTAAAAATAAATATTTTGTTTTGCTGTACATATTATTGTCCTGGTGAATTGAAAAATTCAATTGCATTTAAAACATTAGTTAAATTTTAAATCATTGTAGGCCTTAGAGAGTGGAATCTGCAAATCTGACAAGGAATGTGTGTCCAGTCCTTCATATAGATGAAAAAAACAAGTTCAATTAGTGTGCAGGTTAAAGCGCGATTGACGGTTGGAAATCAAAGAAGAGTAGACAAAACCTGCGCTGTCCAGTCAAAATTCTCCTACCTTGCATTGCACATATAACTATAGCTTGTCTCAAATTAACAATTATGTTGACCAGGCATTAAACTCCATTGTATATTATATTTTATATAATTGCAGGTTATTAGAAGTACGAGCCAGATTATATGAGTTGTTGACACATTGTATACCTGCAGACGTTATTATCAAGGTTTGTTCTGTATTTTTATAATGATATAAAGGCATTTGTCTCAGATATTGTCAGGTACAAATTATCAGACAACCTATCATAATATATACATGCAATTATTTGTGTTGGTGACAGGGTGTCCAGGCTTGATGATGTAGTAATCTTTGGTCTTTGCATATTTGAGTTATCCCCCTTTTGTATTGATAGACATTTATGCTCCAGATAAAAAATTCTCCACAAAATATGCACATACAAATTTGAAAAGCACAAGATTACTAGTAAAACTGTTTTGAGATATGGAAGTGTTTTGACCATGAGAGAATGCGTAATTAATAACCCGTAGACTAATATTTGCTACATTATTCGTATTGTGATATTTGATATTTGACACATTATTTGTTCCCTTTGTCATGTGTGCGATATCAGGTAGAAGAATTTTGCCTTGACTCCTCATTGGGTTTATCTGTTATGGGGAACCACAGTGGCTCATCAGGAAAGACGTTGGTTCGCTAACCTGGAGGTCACATGTTGAGTCCCTGCATTGGTCGAAAAAGTTCATCAGGATTTTTCAGCGTGGTTCCCCCTGTCAGTGGTGCAGGACAGAGGGTCTGGCAAGGGACAGAGTATAGTCAGTTGGATGGGATGAAAAACCGAGGTCCTGTGTACACATTTACATACACGTAAAAATTCTTGGCAGTTGGAATTCGAGTAAGTTGTAGCACTGTCCAGGCAAAATTTCACCCCATAGCACACTGTATGGCATATACCCATCTTCATTAACCAAGCAGTATAGTAGGACGTTGAACCCACCATTTCATTTTATTTCCAAGTTTTTCATCCTATCTTTGTCAATCCCACTGGGACTACACCTGAACCATCCCAGGATTCTTCTCAAACCGCACCTTGATTTGATCCTCGGAGATTTTATTTATTTAATGTACCCAATTCACTGATTACTCGACTATCATTTCAAACATCCATCCTCACTTACATATAATGTCACTTTTACAATATTTTTAGGGATTGTTACAAGAGTTATTGGCCAACTGTGACGGACAATTAAAAACAGAGGTAGTGCAAGCGGCAGCTTATTATGATCATAGATTACAGATCGGACAGAAGGCCATATATCACCTGGAAGCTTTCGTTGCTAAATTCATGGCTATATATAAACAATTCTTGGATGAAGGAATGGCCGAATTCTTTTAAGGAACAAAGACATTAATTGAAACATCATTCCGAATTCAAGAAATTTTATATATAAATAATTCTTGGAAGAAGGAATGTCTGAGTTCTTTTGAAGGAACATTAATTGAAACATCATTTAGAAAGCAAGGAAAAGTTCAAGATAATCTTGTATTTTGAAGCAGCTTAAGATGATGCTTGTGGTGGACAAATTAATTGATGAATATTATCAGAGTCAGTGAACAGTAGATTACTAAAACAGGTTGACTAATTTTTGTGACGATAACCGAACCATTTATTGATAGTTAAAAACTGTAAACTGTACTGATGAACAGAATAAAGTTCAACTTATCCAATTTGCTGAATTTTCTTATAACCACTACCGTTTCTGGGTTTGAGACCAGCTTTATTCTTATTGGTATCCCACATCTATTTATTTATTTGTTGACGAGGGAAAAATACCAACTGTCATAGGTTCTTTTACATATATATGTGCATGAAGTATTAGATATTTCTTACCAGGCCTTCAGTCCCACACCATTGACAAGGGAAAACCACTCTAAAAAATATCCAGAGGAACTTCTTGTCCAACTCCAGGATCAAATCCTAGTAGTACCTGACCTTGGAGTAGAATTCCGTAAAAATGTGCCCTCTATAAGTATACTGAAGACAGTCAATTAATGGGTTTTGAAATGTATGCAAACCATGCAGGCAGGTCATGAGAAACAAACAATTAATTAACCACGGCCTAAATAACTGACACACCTATTACTAGATAATGACATCATTGATTACTCTCACATCATTTAATCACCCTTGATTGTTATATTATTTTTAAAAAATATGTATTAAAATCAGTGAAATTGGTAACAACCTTAGCATTAATTTCTCATTTTCGTGTACATGTAATCATTTATTTTATCAATCCCCAATCATTAATTCTAATTCGTTACATGCTAATACATACACAAACTGATTGTTTAATATCTAAGAAAGCATAACTAAGATGTCATTGGCTAGATGATCGCAAGCCTTGCTTACATTCAATCGAATTAAAAGTGGCACATCAAACAAATTTACCCAATTCTTGTAGGTGTCTTAGGCTTGTTATCGTCTTCATAACTCTGTAAATGTACATTGAAAGTAAAACATTTTTGGACTGATATTCCATTTAGAGAATCAACCTCTAATTTACCCAATTATTATAGGTAGCACAGGCTTGTTCTTGTCTCCAGAGGATGCTGAATGCTAGGAAATTTTCAATTCATCATAACTCTGTACAGATCCAAATCGAACCATTAATGGACTGATATTCGCATTAGAGATTCAACCTCCACAATAGTAAACAAGACATGTTTAATGGTTTTTATTCCATCTTCATAAAAAACAAAACAAATAAAACAATATTTAACAACAAATAACAGTAAACAAGGGTTCATCGGTACACCAATATTCATCATGTCTTCTTTACAATTAGATTATTGCAATTACAATTAGGTTATTGCAATTAATGTTCCCAATCAAGAATAAGAATTTTTGTCAAAAAATTACCGGATGTTTTGATTTTAAGTGCATTTTCATTATAACCAGGGGTGTTTGGGTGGCCGAATGGTTTTATCTTAAAGCTAAAAAAAAATCCATACACACAAGCGAATTATTGAAATAAAATTGAACCATGTGTTAGTCCTAAAATGACCTAGTTTTTTTTTAATACATGAATATTATGGTTGTACAAAACAACTTATATTCAATAATACATTAGGACATTAAACCCAATTTCATTTCCATTTATTTATATATTACATGAATATTATGGTTGTACAAAATCAAAACAACTTATATTCAAATAATACATTAGGACATTAAACCCAATTTCATATCCATTTATTTAATAATATCATTTATATATTACATGAATATTATGGTTGTACAAAATCACTTATAATAAATAAAATATATTTAATAATATAACTTGCAACCAGGCCTGGAAATAACTAAATATCCAGCTCTATTAATGCTGTTGTACTCACTTATATTAAATATAGCATTAAAGATGCATTATGCAAGAACATCTGGCCATTTCAGGTCTTTCTTTAGGCTTTAAATGTTATATACAATATTAGACATTTGCTAACATGACAAAACGATAATCAACTTGCAATGCCATCGGATGCTTAAACATACATTATGCAAGAGCTAAATCTGTCTATTGCAGGTCTTTCTTTAGGCCTGAAATGTTATATAAATTATTAATTAGACATTAATTAACTTATCCAGACCATAATCAACTCTAGATGGCATCGCAAGCCTGCGATTTTAAGTGTATTCTGAGCCGATTTACTGCATAACTTTCCTTCTTCATTAAACGATTAAATGGATAATCGAGACTATGGTGTTTATCGTACTGACTTTAGTAATGATGACCGAGGCTAGGCAGACATTTCATTCGCTTAGTTTTTGGTTCATAGTGGATCAATTTGAAATTTTCAGCAAATTGCCTTTACGTTATCTTGTTTTTAACTATTATAGTGAGAACTGCCAACTCGTTATCGAATCTCCCATAATGTATCTTTAAGATTTTGAATGGATTTAAACACGATTGGCGGTAAATGACTTTGTTTACTTTTGTAACAACAGTAGCAATGACAATCGAGACTCAGCTATTCACCCAAACAGCCCAAACATCACTCAGAATGAAGTAATTTGACAGAAATTATCAAGATATTCCCTTTTCATTATCAATTTCGTAACTATTATTATAGCGAGAATCGTCAGCTCTTTTATGTAAATCTTACAAAATGCATGTTTTAAAAACACATTTAAAAAAATACAACAAATATGTGCTAGACAAATGGTCAGGCACAAGTGGAACCATGTCTGATATTATCTGTGACACGTGTTATATTTCCAGGCTTGCCTGCAACAGAATAATACTGTCATCAAATATATTTACAAGAACATGACGTTTTATTTGAGCAAATTTACACTGTAAACATGAAAGTATTGCAACACATTTGCGTACATGAAATTCATATAAATATTCAAAAACAAAAGTGAAAGATTTTGAGATCAAAGAATATTTCAAACGGGGATTTTCTATGCCCTCCAAATCTGTTATGATCCAGTCATATTTTTTTTTAAAACTAAAAAGATGCAATATCATTAATTGGTTTGGTTATGACGCCTACATGACAATTTGGAAGACTTAAAATTCTTTTCATTGGCAGAGAAGAAGTAATCCAGATGTCAGGAACAATTGCTATCTGTGGCAGGGTCTCATCCTAATACACAAATGTCAAGTGTTCATGATCTAATATTTTTTTTATACTGTAAAACATGAAATTATTGCGACATGAAATTATTGCGAGTGTGGGTGGTGAAACATAATTGCGAAATGAAATTATTGCGAATTTCTATAGTGGGGAAAAAATTATTGCGACATGAAATTATTGCGAATTTAAATAATTTTTTTAGTAAATTTGTCTATAAAATGTGGTAGATTGTTAATTTTGAGGTGACAGTCGGCTCTTCAAAACATCGGTTGATTGGTGATCATTAGTAACAGTAAATAAACAATACCTGTTATCAAACTCAATTTTTAAATAATTATTGTTAAATTAAATCCCTTGATTAACTCCAAGCTGACGAACGACTATAAAACACATGGCATGCGACATTGTTATTACTTTCAAAATGGCGATATTGGGACTCTTTCTTGTGAAGAGTAATGAAGAGAGGATAATTCAATATGGCCAACATTTCAACGAATTTTCACAAAATTATTGCCAACATGAAATTATTGCGAGAGGGCCTCGCTCGCAATTTTTCGCAATAATTTCATGCTCGCAATAATTTCATGTTTTACAGTATATAAAACTGCTGTACAGTGAGCATAGTTATCCAGTGAAATTGATCAATTCTAGTTAAAGTTTTGGCCTTTTTAAATTTACATTGGTTACTCTTGCATAGAATATGCATTGAGCTCTGTTGATTCATGTTTAGTTAGAATATTTATTGAGCTGTTTTGCGTCATGGTTAGTTAGAATATTTACTGAGCTCTGTTGCGTTGCATTATTTTTAGTTTGAGAACGGTAGTATGTATTGAGACATGTTTAGTTAGAATGTTTATTGAGCTGTGTTGCGTCATGTTTAGTTACAATATTTATTGGGCTGTGTTGCGTTGCATTATGCTTAGTTTGAGCAGTATGTATTAAGACATGTTTAGTTAGGGTATCTTAACTGTTGAGTCATGTTTAGTTAAAATATGTATTGACCTGTATTGCATCATGTTTAGTTATAATATGTATTGAGCTCTGTTTTGTCATGTTCAGTTAGAATATGTATTGTGTTGAGTAAAGTTTAAATATATTTTGTTGGAATATATTCTGGTCTGTAAGCTAATGCCAAGACATAAATATCAACCAATCATCACATTAAACTGTGGACCTATAAACTATAATAATAAAAAAAAGAAATCGTCAAATATAATAAATAAAATTCAATCTGTTTTGGGAATAAGCATTGTATCTACATTCATTCGCTGTGCATTTAGGTCAAAATAAAGTATTGAATTGGGTTGAGCTCATGTGTTATTTCCATTAGTGATCTAGCTGTTTTATTATGCTACAACGCTTAATTCATTAATTAGACTATAAATAGGGCTTAATTCATTATTTGTGTTATAGCACTTTACTCATCATTAATGGTACAACACTTCACTCATGACTAATAGCAATTAACATATTACTCATGATATAGCACTTAGCTCATTACTAATAATGGCATTTGACATAATACTTAGGTATATCACCTCACTCAATCCTTACTAATGGTATAGCATTAACTCATTACTAATTATATAGTACTTAACTCATCACTTCTAGTATAGCACTTAACTCATTACTAATGGTATGTAATTTAACTCATCATCAACATTGGTAAGCTGATATGTTGACTAGTAATGAGAATTTTTGTCATTAAATCATACAAGTGATCATTATTTAGTATGTATAGAAAGTGGTTAGAAATTATACAGTTGTCATTAATTAGCAGGTGTGTAACTAGCTGTAAAAGATATCACTACTGGTGTAAAAGTGTGACTGTTTATGACACCCATCACTATTGAATACACAAACCTGGACAATAGTGGTTTATGACACCCATCACTATTGAATACACAAACTGGACAATAGTGGTGTATATCATTCAATAGTCACAGTTTTATCACCTTAATGACTACTGCCTGATTACTAACAATTTTAACTAATATACATTATGTATATAAACTGATGACTTTGATCTATTAGTGTTGTATATTTTCATAAATAACAGTTATTTGTTGCTTAGTCAATGATATCAACATTACAGTCTAATGGTACAGCACTTGATCATTCATTAGTCATTACTAATGGAAAAAAACACATGAAATTAATCCAATTCCAAACATTTATAAAAGTGATTGAGCTTACTTAATACATGAAGAGATCAAATATATTCATATCATATTTTGCCAATGGATATCAATCTGAATGCTAAAATTATCTTGCAGTCTCACACTATTTAATATCGTTTTCATCAGGCCAGTTGGTGCAGACAAGTGGGACATTAAAACCCATTTCACTCCTTATATAATAGTCCTGATGCACCATTTACTTTACGCTAAAATATCAAATATCTCACCACTTAATACACGCTAAAAATGTACTCAGTTTGTTTATTTAACATTTAATTAAGAAAACAAAATACCAACGCTAGATAATCTCCAGGCTTGGATTTAATCAGATTTAAACTAGGCCCATAAAAGATGGCGGGGTCTTGTTACGTTAGGGCAGCATAGATTGATGAAATTTCAATGTAACGTAACTTTGGAAATACTGAACGGAATCAGTCCAATGTTGAACTGATATTCCAATTAGAGATTCAATTTTCACAATATTGTAGTTTGCCAGGGATTCTATAGCGTTAATTGGCGCATCGGGCCTCTAAGGAATCTTAATCTTGAGCAATGATAATATTTTTGATCAAGCACTACACAGTATAGAAGGCTCCACACTTCTCTTAAAACCCATACTACTATCACAACTTGCGAGACTAATCGCATCTATATTATCAAATTCTTCCTCCAAATCTGCCTCCCTTAAATGATCTGCAGTATAATCCAAACCCCTTTGATCCACAATTCGAAATGCTTCCAGGAATTCGTTAAAATCAATCTGACCATCTTTGTTCAAGTCCAAACTCTTGGCCACATCCTTTATTTGTCCTGGCAATAAACTAACGCTTGTGTGGCGTATTAATATGCTGCATGCTTCCTGGAACTCGGTCATCGATATATAACCAGAGTTGTCCTTGTCAAATATTCTAAATATGGTCTCTAAACTGTCTTTATAACGATATAACAACTCCATTACTGAATCACCATTCTGAAAAAAAAAAAAAAATGACCATCTTCGTGTGATTAATGAAAGATAAAATTATTGAACATAGCGGTCTCAGACTTTTCATTCATATCTTGGGACTAGGGACCAGACCAAGGCTACCAATTCAATCATATTCAGGGACCAGACCAGGACTCCCCTTTAAGTCATATTCAAGGACCAGGCCAGGGCTTCCCTTTCAGTCATATTTGGGAACCAGGCCAGGGCTCCTATTACAGTCATATTTTGGAGAGTAGGGACCAGACCAGGGCTCCCATTTCAGTCATATTTTGGGGAGTAGAGACCAGACCAGGGCTCCCATTCCAGTCATATTTTGGGGACCAGACCAGGGCTGCCATTAGTCACATTTGCCAGTCTGGAGAACTTACTTGTCAGTCAATTTACATACTATAAATACTATAAAACTAGAATTTCAAAGAATTTAGACTTAATTCACAATAAATACAGTTATATAGACTTAATTCACAATAAATACAGTTATATTGTAATGTGTCAAACTTGGGACTTCCTGGTTAGTGTGCCAGCGCTTTACTCACCGAGTCACCATGGTCCCTCAATAAATCCATACCAGAAACAGCTTACCTCACTATATCTGTGTAAAATCTGTAACTGTTCAAATGTTGTATCGTAAATAACCTGTTTGTCAGAGTTTAGTTTAACTAGTTTAGATCGCAGCATTCTCCACGGAACATCCACATCCATTACTGTTTCCATAGCAGAACACCAATCACCTATCGTTATTGTTCCTGTCAAGGAAGGAATGAAAATTCATGAGGCCAAAACAATTTAATTTTATTCCCAGTGTTGCTTCTTCTTGTCAGTGATGCAGGACAGATGGCCTGACAAGGACAGTGTCTAGTTGTTCGGATTGGACAGAAAACCAAGGTCCCTTGTGCACATAAAAGAACCCTTGACAGTTGGAATTCAAAATAAGACCTGGCTAATGAAGATGGGCATAAGTAGTCATACAGTGTGCTCTATGGGAAATTTGCTGATGTTAGTAATAGAAGAAGGCAAACATGGAGATATTCTAAAATCATGCCAGAATCTTCATAACTGACAAAATAAATAATCTTACCCTTTTCTTCGGTATCATGTTTCTTAAACTCCTCCAAAAGATCAGATTTTAACGCCAATATTTTTTCTCGTAAATCTTGCATGGCGGAAGCCTCTAAACAGCTGATCCTATTAATAGATAGAAAATTACTAACACTACTCAAATATATTTCCTAGTAGCCTACATATATGTTCTGTCTTGTAAAGATGCATTATGTAAAATTTAGATAAATGAGTTGTTCTATGTAATAGTTCTATGTAAAATTTAGATAAAGAGTTGGCCATTCTTGCTATAATAGTTTCATGTAAAATTAAGGCAAATGAGTTGGCCGTTCTTGCTATAATAGATTTATGTAAAATTTCGATAACGAGTTGGCTATTCTTGCTATAATAGTTTCATATAAAATTTCGATAAAGAGTTGACCATTCTTGCTATAATAGTTTAAAAAAATGAATTGCACAAATATATCGCATAGTACATGTATATTAACAGTCCAGAAAGGTTCTTCTACTTCTTCAATTTAAAAAGATGATTGAGAGAAAAGAAGAGGTAATATTGGCACTGGAGAACCAGACTGAAACAAGCCAAAAGTGAGGCTGATGTCCTCCGCCAAAAGACCAAAATAAATAGATGACACTTAATTAATCGCACATTTCTTTTTTCAAAAGTATCGAGCAATCAAACTGAATATCAACTATTTTCGAAAAGCGGGGGACAAAAATGTAAGAGCTAAATCTGTCTATTGCAGGTCTTTCTTTAGGCTTTAAATGTTATCTAAACTATTAATTTGACATTTATTAACACGATAAATTTATAATCAGCTCTCCAGACCGTTGGATGGCCAAGATGTAAGTGGAATAGAACACATGTGAGATGTAAATATTTCACGATAGATCTCGAATCAAATAGATCTCGAATCAAATATATTCCACCACAGATGACTAACGTACGATCATCTGCATTCTTACGTGGGGTGGGAAGAAGTCACAGGACCCCAAGTCTTGAGTTGAGTCACAAGTCACGGGTCTGAGTGGTGTCCCTAGTCTCCAACTGTAGTCGAGTGCTATGTCTTTGCAAAGCCCAAGTCCTGTTCAGGTCGCTTGTTTATGAGTCAGCAGCTCATAGCGACTTGAGTCCTTAGCTCTTTTAAGTCACGAGTCTAGTCACAATAAATATTTCACGTTACATCGCAAATCGGATCTTTGATGCGACTAAATTCGGCCTCGAGTCCAGCATCCCACCTTGTATTCTTACATGTAAACCCTAAATGATTCAGTGAAGGATATTAGGAATATAGTTACTGAAGTCATGAAACCATCATACTGACCTTTGTGTGAAGGTTAATTTACGGACTCCACTACATTCGTTCGCTAGAAACTGTACGATATGTATCTGTAAATCTGGTCCAGATAATTTTATATATGCTCCCTTATTACTGCCGATATCATAATAATTAGACGCTGAAAATATCGTTAAAACCTGGAGGGAAAAAACAATTTGAACAGATCATTGATTTCCTACTAAAACGGAAAAGTACTTGTAATCATTCAGAAAGGCACCAAACAAATGTATAAAATTTGGTTATGACACTCTCCTCAAAGCAAATAAGTTTTTTTGTCTAAATTGGTAACATGTAACCAGATAAATTCTGCCTGACATTGTTGCAGTAAAAGCTGTGTCGTTATAAGGATCCCCATCAATTATGTCTTTTGCTTGTATAGTTTTAATATTAAAGTCTCACAGCATCATTTTAGCGCAGTAGTAATTCCCTGTACAATATTGTGAAAGATGAGTAGGAATATCGGTCCAAAAATGGTTTAATTCTGTTAAGTATTTACAAAGTTATGTACTGCTCTATATTTTATAAGCCTGCAGCTATTTTGTTGTGGATGAACAGAAATGAAAGGCCTATTTCAATACCGAGAGGTTATCTTGCGTTGGTATTTCTTATTTTGTTTTCTTAATTATATGTTAAATAATAATCTGAGTACAACAGGACTGTACAGCGCAGTTGATGCTTACTGCTAGCCACTGGATCCATTCACTTAATTTGATATGTTCGTCTGTTTGTGATTTCTGCATATTGTGTCTTGTCCGTAGATTTGTTTTTGTGTAAATTATGTGTGATGCAGTCCCCCTGCACTTGCTATTATTAGCATGGATTAAGCCGAGAGAAATTTGATAATTTAGCAAAAAATGTATATGGTGCATTGTTACTTTAATAAAATACTGAGTCATAGTTACCTTTCCATCATGATTGTATTCAAACCCCTCGGGTTTACATTCATGGGAACGTATTAAAAGTTGGAATTTATGTTCTTCTAGGAAACTCTCAGTGACATCTGGACCAAAATAGCATCCTCCTCCACGAAACGTATTTGGATTACATCCCATATGTGATTTGGGATCACTCCATAATAAGTCTAATACCTAAAAAAAATAAACATATATAGGTCTCATCAACATTTCTTTATTATACACCTTGGAGCTGCGGAGCTCACCTGCCGGTTCAGTGTTCGATCCCATTGTTGCCAGAGAAAGTTCATCAAGATTTTCTGGCGTAGTTCACCCTTGTCAGTGGTGCAGGGAGAGGGCCAACAAGGGACAATATATAGTCGTTCGGATAGGAACAAAAACCATGGTCATTTGTACACATTGGTGTGCACATAAAAAAAACCTTGGCACTGTCCAGGCAAAATTTATCTCATAGCACACACTATGGCCTATGCACGTCTTTATTAGCTGAGTCGGTGCAGAACAGTAGGAGGACACTAAACCTACATTTCAGTTCATTTTATACACCCCCATCTTATTAAAATAATTAATAGAATACAACATGAATAAAAACACATTGTTTTATCCAACCTTGCATCAATAAAATTACTAACTTTTTCAGGAAAGAAGAATTAAATACTGAAGAAGTTAATATTTTTACTGATGAAATGTTGGGAAAAACAATTGATTTTTTTTATATTGTATTTTATTCATTATTGCATATCGACTTATCTGATGTATCATTTTGACTCGATTGATCCCATCAAACCGTCTGTAAATTGGTTTTTGTTTTCTATTGATTGGAAGCCTCATGTATTTTCCTCACCCTGTTCATCCATCTGTCCAGCTAACTGGAGCTTGAAGCATGACACTCTAGAAAACAAGGCCATCCCATCCACCCCACCTCGTGATACATAACTCATTGAAGGTCTATTTTATACTAATTACCTGTTTCCACTCTTCCAGTCTTTGTAATTCCATAGACATACTATCCAGTCCTCCAACATCTGTTATAGTTGGTGGTCGTAAAACTGATATATACTGGAAAACAATCAAAATACATCATCATCAATTCTTGAGTTTTTCACCAGATGTTAAAGATATATTATTATTCAAGAGCTAAATCTGCCTATTGTAGGTCTTTCTTTAGGCCTTAAATGTTATATAAATTATTAATTAGACATTTATTAACATGACAAGACCATAATCATCTCTCTAGTCCATCGAATGGCTCTGATTTTAAGTAGATTAGAATGGTTCGACCATTTAATGATTTAATTTAAAAATAGAGAAGCCAGCCTAAGTCTCGAAAGACCAGAACCGAAGTTATGATAATTAACAATTAGTGCACATATCTTGTCAAAACTACAAACAGTGATAACTTCGCTCAGAATAAAGTAATTTGAATGAAATTTTCAATATATTATTACATTATCTATTTTTAAACTATTACAGCAAGTTCTAGGAGACACAGTGGCTCAGTAAAGCACTGGCTTATAAGATATTTTCAGCATGGTTATTGCATGGGTCGTGTGCACATAAAGAATCCCTTGACAGTTGGAATTTGATGAAAAGTAGGCAAAATTACTCTCATCTTTCAGTTTTAATTCAATTCAATGCTTACATAAAGTTATGTACCTACAGTTCAATATGGTTTAACCTTACATCTGCATTGTTCAACGGGACCAATGTCTCAGATTTAGGAGAAATTCAAATATGTCCCATCCGCTGAACAGAGTTACCTACCTTATGTCTGTCTAATCGTGCCAGTGATTTCATACTAACATGGTCGGATATCCCACCATGCACTACCAATACCTTATCATCTATAACTGTTGCTAACGGTAACCAACTAAATACTTCACTAAAGGCATTTGTCACCTTTACAGCATTATTCTGAATAATACAGAAATTATATATCATATTACCAGGGTATATGATAAGAAAAAAAAATTGATTAACAATTATTGGATGTTTTAAAAAATTGGAAAATTAGTTAGCAGTTCCTCTTGATTGAATAGCCCTAAATTTTCATGGTATTGTATTGAAGGATCTCTAAAGGCCATAAATTCTATCGGTAGGCCTATACAACTAATGTTTATGTGTGTATGGGGAAAGTTCTCTGGTTTCCTCCCAATGCTAAAAACCTCTACGCGCAAGCGAATTAATGAAATAAAATTGAACCACATGTTAGTCTCAAAATGACCTAGTTTGTGTCAAGTGGATGTTAAACACCATTTCCCTCTTAGCCGCACCCCCCCCCCCCCTTCCCCCCTATTACTAAGCAAAGCTTCAACTGGGCTTGTCTCGCCTCCATCATGCAAATGGTACAATCATAAAAATAAAAGAAGTCTAGCCGAAACATCCCTCAATAATAAACAGTAATTGTATTTGATATATTTGTGTCCTGTGTATTTCTAGTGATAGTTCAATTACTAAATGCCATCCACATAAAAATAATATTGTCTCTCACCCAACAGGCATCCATAACAGCTAGTATAGATATATGTGCTGTTGCTGACATTACACTGATTTGAAACATTTCGCACACTAGGCATGCTAGATTATCAATAAAATGTCTGCTTTCACCAGTTAGTCTATGTCTCTCACTTTTACAGTTTTCCCTCTTAAAATGAATTACCCACTTGTAAAATGATAAATTTAATGAAACTATAGGCCTACCTTGTATTTTTTGATGATTTCTTTGATAAAACCATACCTTTTAAATAATAAATAAAACATTATAATAAAAACTTTAGAATAATAAATAAAACATGATAATAAAAACTTTAGAATAATAAATAAAACATGATAATAAAAACTTTAAATTATTAAATAAAACATTATAATAAAAACTTTAGAATAATAAATAAAACATTATAATAAAAACTTTAGAATAATAAATAAAACATGATAATAAAAACTTTAGAATAATAAATAAAACATGATAATAAAAACTTTAAATTATTAAATAAAACATGATAATAAAAACTTTAAAATAATAAAACTTGATAATATAAACTTTAAAATGATACATAAACCATGATAATAAAAACCTTAAAGATACATTATGGGAGATAAGATAAAGCGATGGCAGTTCTCGCTATAATAGTTAAAAAACTAGATAGTGTAAAGGTAATTTGCTGAAAATTTCAGTCAAATTGATCTACTATGAGCCGAGAAAGAAGCGGGTGAAATGTTTGCATAGTCTCGGTCATCATTACTAAAATCATTAATATAAACAGCATAGTCTTGATTATCCACTTTTTCTGATTTAATTATCAGTGGCCGTTAGCGGCATATAGGAATCTAATCCAGCCAACATCAAAGGCTAGCCTTGACATCGAGAGTTTATTATGGTCTGGACTGGATAAGTTAATTAATGTCTAATTGATAATTTAGATAACATTTCAGGCCTAAAGAAAGACTTGTAATAAGCAGATTCTGCTCTTGCATAATGCATGTTTAATTAAATCATGATAAAATAACAGTTATTGGTCATTATACAGATTTTGTACTTGAATTTGATGATTTTTTAAGATTTTATATCCATATATATATATCAAATGGTTATAAATTGTAAACCAAGTTATATAGATTTTAAGTGCTGTTTTCTATAATGAACAGTATGTATGTTGTGATTTATACATAAAGTGTGTATTGCTTACCTAAACATAAACATTGTATTTCTGATCTGTACATAAAAAGTATATTGCTGATCTGGACATAAAGAGTGTATTGCTGATTTGTACATAAAGAATGTATTGTGATCTAATATAAACAATGTATTGCGATCTGAACATAAAATGAGTATTTCTGATCTGTACATAAAGAGTGTATTGTAAACTGCAACTAAGAGTGTATTGCTGATCTGTACATAAAGAATGTATTGTGATCTAATATAAAGAATGTATTGTGATCTGAACATAAAGTGGGTATTGCTGATCTGTACATAAAGAGTGTATAGCAGATCTGTACATAAAGAATGTATTGTGATCTATACAGAACTAGAATTGCTGATCTGTACATAAAGAATGTATTGTGATCTATACAGAACTAGAATTGCTGATCTGTACATAAAGAGTGTATTGCTGATCTGTACATAAAGAATCTGTTGCTGATCTGGCATTTGAAAAGTAATATGAAAATATCAATATTTACCTCAAGTTCATAACATGATCTTCGTGGTTACCACGGTTTAAGAAGACTTCATTAGGTGAGGCAAGAAAACAGGCTAGTAATATTGTAGCAACCTCGATAGACGATGGTCCACGGTCCACAAAATCACCATTAAAAACAAACGGATTGTCAACTGATGGAAGACCATTCTACAAATAAATATATTAATTTTTGTATTCATAAATGAAAGCAACTGTGTATATTGATTGAGGACTATTAAAGAAGTTGAATCTTTAAAAGCAATATCAGTCCCAAAATGATTCAATATCATTCAGAATAAGATGCACAACATTCAGCATGTATAATTAGAGTCTAACCTTATGTAAGATTATGTATAAATCATTAGAAACTAACATAATAGAAGATTCAATGGGGGGCACGAGGGGCGCGCCCCCCCCCCCCCTAATTTTCGACAGTGCCCTTTTTTTACTGCTGAAAGTGCCTTTTCTCAGACTCAAATATGTCCGTTCCCAACCCGTTGTAGGGATCCCAAATGACTCAAACCATCGACTCAAACACACCAGTCTGGGAAATAGCTCTTGGAATGGCTACAGATGCAAGGAAATGACGGATAATTTTCTTGGGGACCCCCCCCCCCCCCTCAGCAGCGTGCCCCGTCTCCGCGGTCAATGGTCAATGCCTTCATTTTGCAGCACCCCCCCTTTTCAAAATTCCTGGATCCGCCCCTGAATAACCTTATGGAAGAACATGTATGAATAGAAACTAACCTTATGGAAGATCATGTATCAACAGAAACTAACCTTATGGGAGATCATGTATCAATAGAAACTAACCTTACGGAAGATCATGTATCAATAGAAACTAAACTTATGGGAGATCAGGTATGAATAGAAACTAACCTTATAGAAGATCATGTATGAATAGAAACTAACCTTACAGAAGATCATGTATCAATAGAAACTAAACTTATGGAAGATCATGTATAAATAGAAACTAACCTTATAGAAGATCATGTATGAATAGAAACTAACCTTATAAAAGATGACGTATGAATAGAAACTAACCTTATGGAAGATCATGTATCAATAGAAACTAAACTTATGGGAGATCATATATGAATAGAAACTAACTTTATAGAAGATCATGTATGAATAGAAACTAACCTTACAGAAGATCATGTATCAATAGAAACTAACCTTAAAGAAGATCATGTATGAATAGAAACTAACCTTATAAAAAGATCATGTATGAATAGAAACTAACCTTACGGAAGATCATGTATGAATAGAAACTAACCTTATAGAAGATCATGTATGAATAGAAACTAACCTTATAAAAGATCATGTATGAATAGAAACTAACTTTATAGAAGATCATGTATGAATAGAAACTAACCTTACAGAAGATCATGTATCAATAGAAACTAACCTTACGGAAGATCATGTATCAATAGAAACTAACCTTATAGAAGATCATGTATGAATAGAAACTAACCTTATAAAAGATCATGTATGAATAGAAACTAACCTTATGGAAGATCATGTATAAATCCTCAAGTTTTCCGTGTAGATCACCACAGACTGTAATCTGCTTGGATATTGATGTGGAAGCATAGTTGATATTTTTCTGTTGCTGTAACAATTTACGAGCTGCGTTTAGTAGTTCCAGTAAATACCGTACATGTAGTCTCTAAAATTGAAAGTAAAAATATAAATCTTATGAATTAAAACAAATGTTCATGTCATATCTGGGAGTCAAATTAGCTCAGTATTATGCTGGCAGACTAACCAAGAGGTCCCGGGTTCACTGAGAAAGTTCTTCAGGATTTTACAGTCTGGTTTCCTCTTGTGAGTTGTACATTTGGACAAAAAGGAGACCCCATTGAAGAAGATATTAGTGATTACTGAGATAGATTACGATGGTGCTTGCGAAGGGCCCAACTCTTTAGGTCTGCCACTGGATGTAATGCTAGAAACAGTGACTCAGTGAGTAACCTAGAGGTTCTGTGACAGTTGGAATTTGATATAAAAGTAGGCTGTAGTGCTGCTGCCTGGGAAAAAATTTCCCTCATAGCACAATGCATGGCATATGTCTGTCTTCATTAGCCCAGTCAGAGCAGATCAGTAGGACATTGAACCCTATTTCATTTTATTTCATTGCTAACTTACCTGTTTAGCTTTAAATGCTTGTATTAATGTTTTAACCTGGGCATGAGTTACAGGTAATGTCAGGTGTGGTCCCGTATACGTGCTTTCTATACGTATATCATCTAAACTCCCGATTACATCTGATGTCTCCTTCGCTACAAAACAAAAAAAAATAACATGGCTTAACATCTCAGCCCAGCAAACAGCTCATAGTCATTTTCCCATGGCGTGGTGACGGTGAGGTTGCAAGAACAGATACTCATGCACTACTTGTTTGTTTGTTTTTATGCCACTCATACAACTTGTTGTTTTTTTTTATGCCACTCATACCACTTGTTGTTTTTTTAGGCAACTCATGCACCACTTTTTGTTTTTTTTAGGCAACTCATGCACCACTTGTTTGTTTTTTTACCCCACTCATGCACCACTCCTCTCCTTTTTTTTTACGCAATTCCTGCACAACTTGTTTTTTTTATGCAACACATTTAAAGTGGGTCTGGGGTGGGGTACATAATTTATTCACAAGTCTGTCTGTAATTTTCTCTTTTGCAGGAGGGCGAGAGAACACCCCTAATAATTGTGCCACTTGGTTGAGAGCCTATTCAAGCTATTAATGCTCTCACTGGCCTCACCACATCCCTGCATTTTCCACTTATAGATTTAACCAAATAAAGGCAAAAAAGTATTTTCAGAGAGCAATCCAGACAGTTAAATGAAAGTAATTCGGTTAAATACAATATTCATTGCTAAAAAACCAAAAAATCCCAACAACATGGAATTTTATTCGAAAAAACCCCAGAAAAGACAGAAGCTAATATCAATCAATCAACATAACAATGGTGTGTGATAGACATTCAGACCAGATCATTAGTGGCACTACACCAGAAAACCATAAAAAAAAATTAATGTCACAAAATAGCTTATTCACAGGGAATTTTTTTATACCCACTGATTGGCATTTGCATTTTTCTGACAATGTTTTATTTTTCACCTTAACAATATTTATTGTGGGGACAGATCTCTCTCTCTCTCTCTCTCTCTCTCTCTCTCTCATATAGGTTACATAGAAAATAATAACTAGCTCTTTCAAAACAGAAAATAAATTCAACAACTATTTCCTTATCCCAATCGCTAAACAACACAAATTCAATCGATTTCATACTCTGTTGTGGAAATACTGTAAAATGTATCAAACTTGTATTAATTTACAATAATTGTTGAGTAAATACTCTTAAAGATACAGTCTGTTATTTAAGAGACATCTAACTTTTAATTTCCTTGTTTGTTACAGTTTCATCTGGTTATCAAATTTCTAATGATTTTTATAATTTTCTAAAGAGACATACAACTCTTCTCTGAGCGTCATTCATCAATTGACACACTCAATAAACAGCTCTCCACACAGATATTATGCGGCATCGTTTGAAAATTGAAGCATGTTTTGTTTTTTTCTGATTCTTTGTCCTGGTTAAAGGTAATACACACTCAACAATGTTATCACCCATTATTAATAGATATTTTTCGGGAAGGACACTGACCTTTGCAGGCTCCCAAGTCATATGGATATCTATATATGATCAAGAAGTCTGCTTGATATCTTCCCATTTCTAAATTTCTAATACTTTAATGCGATTTTAAGTGATTATGTACATGATCACTGGCAACGGTCTTGGGATCTTACAAACACAAATAAGCTTCAACAAATTAAGCCTTGCTTAGGGGGGTGGTCAAACTCTTAAAATACTAACAAGAGGGATGAATTTGTTTTGTGCTGCTCGAGCATTGGTTATACTTTCTCAATCCATATTTTCATCTTAAAGTAAGAATCTTAGAATGAATGTAACGCTGTCATGTCCCTTGGATAGTTGAGCACATGTTAATTACGTGCATCACCCAGGCTAATGAAGATGGTCATACACAATATTTAGAGTGTGTGTTATGAGGGAAGTTTTGCTCTAACAGTGCTAGCCAGACTATGGCCTATTCATCCCCAGGGCCATGATTTTACATTCTATTCGAATGATTAAAAGATATCCTTTGCCAGATACTCCATCCTGTATCATTGTTAGGAAAAAACAGGCTGGAAAGAAAAAATTGGATTTTTATCAGCCAAAACCTGGGATGGAACCGTGGACATCCTGGTTAGACACCAGCGCCATACACACCAAGCCAGAGGCTTGCTGGGCAGGTAGGCGTAACAGAAGAAACTGGAAATGGTTGATAACGCTCGAATTCGATGAGATTTCCTTCCAGATGAGCTTCTCCCTCCCGAAGATGTGCTCTCATTTCGCTCAGTTCTTGGTTGTTGCTGATCTTCAGGACATAATCATAATCCATCAACCAAGGGTGGATTGGATGGCTGAATAGTTAGCGCATTCGCGTTGTATCATAAGGTCTGTTATTGAGTCAACTGGCGTGGTTTCGATTCCTCGGTTTTAAGTGACAAGGAGTAGGGTCGCTTGTCCAACCTCATGGGTTTTCTCTGAGTCCTCCGCTTTCCTCCCACTGCTAAAGACCCTTACGCGCAATCGAATTATTGAAATAAAATTGAACCATACGTTAGTCCCAAAATGACCTAGTTTGTGTCAAGTGGACGTAAACCCCATTTCTCTCTCTCAACCATGTCATGGCTCAGATATATGTCAAATTGATTCTAGCGTGCCCTAAGTTTGATCTGCCTACCCTCCTTACGGAAGCCCCAGCATGCCTCTGCACCAAGCCACAATCAATAATAAAGATTTGACACTATGTCCCTTTAATTGTCTTGGTTGAAGAACCCTCATTATAATCATCTTTAATCTCAAGTTTAATACAATCTCAGTATGTGAATTATTGCTCACAGCACATCCTTGCATGTTTGGTTGTATGAATTTTACCATTATTTGTCAGATCACTTAGTTATCTTAGTCGTACTCAAAAGCTTTTAGATAATGACACATGGCTTGAATACTTTATAAAACATATATAAGCTTACCTAAGGCAACATCATTAAATATAGAGTTGTAAGAACATAAATAGTCGGATTTACCTTTATTTACTCGAAAACTATTCAAATTAATCCATTCTAACTTCAGTTACAGTCATTTTAAAGTTTAAGGTTTCTATTGATTTCACACCACCATTTTTCTTTGTCTCAGATAAATACAAGAATAATAAAAATAAACACAACAGTTCTATGGATAACAATTACTGTATTTCCACTAAAACTACGTTTCAACAATGATTCTCTTGTCGTTATCAAACACAATAGAAATACAGTAATTGTTATCCATAGAACTGTTGTGTTTATTTTTAAATGTGTTCAATTACTAAATGCCATTCAAACAGTATAAAAGAATAATAGGTTATTTTTTACTTTGATGTGCTTCACTATAAAAATACGAACAGTGTTTACATTAAAATGATAAATATTTTTGACTTTTAAGTTTTAAGACATGGAAAGGATCGGGCATATTGTGCCTTTCTTTCATGAAAATTATTCTTCCTAAAGGTAGTGATGACTTATCCTCTTTCTTTCAAATGCTGACTTTAATTAACTGAAATTAGATTTTTTTATAAACAGAAAATATATAATCACTGGGTGAAATGGAACTGGTTATCTCGGCCAAAAGAATGGAACAGTGTTAAATGTATCGTGAAAACAACATTTTAAGTAATTCTGAGAAAAATATACGTTTATTTATTTCTAGGGTCACATGTGCAATGCTAATGTGGACAATTTTGTCAAGACAGCACGTATGTGCATTCCAGTATGTACGCAGATGGACCTCAGAGGTTTTTTTTATCTTCCAAACAACTATGCAGCAATTTTCTTGTTAGTCCTACAGGTGCTAACCCTGACTAATGGGATCCAGACTCGATAACCTCCAAGACTTTAAATCTTAGACATTCTAGTAGGGAGTCCTTGCATCCTTGTTGCTCAACCACATTGTCCATAAATATACTTGGGATCACTCCTTTAAATTATTCTATAAGGTTAATTAATAAATCCACTTTACTTAGTTAATGTTTAATTGTGACTGGGTTATTCCTAGTCTAACAAATAGATTAACCAAATCTAACTGTATCGTGACTTGATTGAATTCAACGGAACTATTAGAACCTACTTTATAAATTTGGATAATGAGTTGTCTGTATACAGAAAGACAATTCCAGGATGTCAATTTACATACAGTGAATGGTTAATTAACTTCCAGTTGGGACTCAACAGTTTGAATAAAGGAACTAGCATGCTATTTTGTTAAAACATCTTAATATTACCCACCGTGCAGTGATCAGTGCGACTGGAATCACAATTTTAAATTAAATGCATTTGGCCAAAGAAATTTAATTCATAAATGTTTCAGGGTCGTGATAAATAGATATTACCCCTTGTCAGTGATGCAGGATAGCTGTCTAGTCGTTCGGATGGGACGGAAAACCGAGGTCCCTTGTACACATTGGAGTGCACGTAAAAGTTCCCTTGACAGTTGGAATTTGTTATTAGAGTAGGCTGTAGCCGCGGTCCGGGCAAAATATCCCTCATATGCCCGTCTTCACTAGGCCAGTATAGGAGCAGAACAGTAGGACGTTAAACCCCATTTCATTTCATTTCATTTGATAAATAAATAGCCACGTGAATCTCATGAACAATATTTTGTTTAAAATTTCAAAACTTAACATTGAACTAAAGCTATTGAGTAATATTTGGTATTGCCACTGCAGTCACGATACGATATGTATTGCGATTTAGGTACTACGATACAATTCATAACCAGGTCAATATTTACCAAGAAAATAACAGGTTAAATGAATAATTGATATTTTTGGTCCTGCTGTTGTTGAAGAAATAAAACTTGTTTTATATCACGATATTGGGGTGAATTAAAATAAGGACCAAAACAATTTAAGAGTGTTTGTGTGTGTGACATGATGATTAAGTGTGACCGGTTACTTACTGAAGCGACAAAAAAACCCAAAAAACAAGAATCACGATATATCTATTCAGCGTCTCACGATTCAATATGCGAATCGTGAAAAGATGAATCACGATACATCGATTCAACGATATATTGAGACAAGTAATGAAGTATTTTTGTTTGTTTCAGAAGAATTTATTTTTGAATCCTCAATGACGTTCACAGACTCTAACATGGACGTTTATCGGAGAGAAAAA